TTTGACTCGGACTTCGGCCTACCCGTCTTTACTTGGAAAGTGTGATGGATTGCGGCTTGTCAGATGTCATTGCAAACTTGCTTATACAGAACATACGAGAGTCTCAGAAAAGGAGCTGGGGCGTATGTAAGGATTTGCGAGACCAAAGCCAATTCAGAAAAGATTTTGGCCAAGTCTGTCTTGCCGTGTCATAATATAAATTTTCTGGTTTCTAGCAATCGGCCCTTCGTACTCTGCAGACATAATCTTACTGTTTAAGCGGCAAGGATGCCGGAGAATTCTCATCCATGACAGGCCCAGGAAATCAATAGCGTGCAGCTAATTTTTCCAAGGCCGTTGACGTGTCACAAAGTGGGAATAAGGGTTTGAAAGCCACATAGACCATAACCCGGTAATGGGGAGGCAAGGACGCTTGGGACCCCTATTCTTAGTGATAAAAAGGCTTAGTTAAGCTTGCAAAGATTTACTGGATTCTAGACTAGGTATTTTTGGCACCTTAGTTTCATGTAGGACGTCTCCTTTCTCCCTTGGGCTTATTTAGCTTATCCTATTGCATTGCACTATACTGTTTCCAGTGTGGCTATGTTCGAGTTCAGCTCTATACCGGTCCCTTGGCGACCTTCAGCACAATTACGGGGCCTACTAATGCTTCCCAAGAGGGCGAGACACGGGAACCATAAACGGTCAATATTTGAACTTCCGGGGATGCCGAGCTAAACATGATAGCCTAGAATAATAGTTTAGCATGCTCATAGTAAGCCAGTCTTAATTGAAAGCAAATCTATGGCTTAATATGTAATAGATATATTTCCATAGAGTGATAGCCTTGATTTATAAATATACAGGTTCTGCTCTTCCTGAAATGCTTCTTACTTACTAGTGGCAATGTCAACAGGGCCGGTGCTTCGTCGATTGTTTGTTGATGATCTTGGTATCTGAGTTTCAAATCGAAAAAGTCAAAAAATCTCTCCTGAAAGCGTAAGGATCTCCACAGACCAGACCGCTAGTCATTGGCTATCCTTAGCGATGGGGTAGGTGATGTTCCGGGGTTCAAGTCGTAGATTAAATGCCCTTCGCTTATCACTATAAATCAGTCTCTCTATTTTACAATCTTCTGCAATCCGCTACTCAACGGTCTTCTCATTGTGGCACTTGATGTGAAACATGGTTTTACACGTAATACTCCGATATTTGCTTACTAGTTTGCGATTAGGGTGATTCTGCTGGCCAATGGCTACAGATGGCTGGGCGGCATTCTCGATACTGTTGTACGTTGACTCAGACAAAGATCTGATCCCGGTGAACTCCAGCATGCAAGAGTTGAGAAAGCTATTGGCAAGCTACAAAGGAGGGCCGGTATCGCAAATCCCACTTCCGCAAGCGGTTAAAACAAGCGAGATGTCACCCTAAAATCGCTAGGGACTGTAAGAAAGAGGCCACGTTTATTCCCATGTATCAACTGCCGGCATGAACGCCAAAAGACGTCGAATCTGTAAGAACTTTGCGTTGAATAAACGCCTGGGAAATTAAGACGTGATAGTGACTGGACTCGGGTCCGAAAAGGTCAAGCCCCCGAGCTGGGACATGGGCCGGTGACATGCATCATTTTTGGCTGCATGACCGAGCCGTGTCTTAGAATACGCTTTCGCCACCAATATCGAGATACGGCCATCGACTAGCCGTATTTTGAATCCTTTGCATGACTGTAAGATGGTAGGGTTGCAGCGATACTCGTGCTTGTACTCCATATATACCTCAGAATACTCTTACTTGCGTTCCAGACCATGGCAACCCAGACAGAAACGGGATGCAGAAGCTGAAGTTCAATAAAATAAAGGTTCAATCGAGATCTATCTTTATTTTCAAGAATAACGCTAACCACTATGCTATTATACTGTATAATATTCCAGGACTGCATGTTCTATATACAAAAGCCTCAGTAGGTGTAGGCTACGCGTTGCTTACAATTATTATACATCCCTCCAAGATTCATGAGGTTTTAGATATATGTAGGGGACTGCTCAGCTGCTTTGCCTAAGCCCAGATGCAGGTCGAAAAACGTCGCCATCCATTATTTCCGTTGTAGTGGCTGAGACACGGCTCCCAGGTTGTACTAGCTGCTATGTCTCGGAGCGCCGATCTGTCACTGTACTCAGTCTCACCTGTATGATTGGTTTTTGGTTCGCCACTCGTGTAATGTGCGCCCGTCTTCAGACGATCAGCTCTCGGAACAGTTCACGTAAGTCAGAAGAGAAAAAGGCATTGACACCTCCTATAAATAACATTTACCTCACTCGGAAAAGACCAGTTTCACGACTACCATCTAATTATCCTCTTTACTTTAAAATATGTCAACATCGCCTTTGTCCAATGACCCGACAGGGCAACTAGACACTGAGACGTCAAGCAGCTCAAGTAGGAAAAGAAAGGCAGAGGAAATTCTCCTGCATCCCTCCTGCACACGCCAAAAACCCCTCACACAGCCTGCGGTGATGTCATCTGCTCCCGCTCCAACAAACCCAATATCTCCCATTTCAAACTTGCAGCTATCGCCTCAGAGAAGCGTCGACGCTTTTCCATCAAAGATTCAACAGGCCATTGATCTACACTTTCACACATCGGAGACTAATGCCGTCCTTCCTTTCGCAAATGATCCATTTATGGATAACGGGGATATGACAGACGTATCTCACGACTTCGATCAAATTTCTGTAAGTTCTTACTTGCTGCTTCCAAGTTCAATGTAGCTGATTGCACACAGGACTGTAACTCATCGCGCCATGAATCATCAACGCGATCCGAGACAGAGTCTGAGTGGTCAGATACAGAGGACATAAGCCAAGAGATCCAGGATGCTACAGATCAAATCAATGAGACAGTAGAAGCCAGGAAATGGCTGTTCTTTATCGATCATCATCTTCAAAAAATACTGCAAGGACTATCTCAAATCGAGGGGGCCGCAGCGCAGGTGGCCAGAACCACGAATTCCGCGTTTGTGTTTTCTGATAACATTTATCATCTCAAGGAACAGGTCATGCTTTTCCATCTGTGCCAGCAGCACAAGGTAGAGGAGTCCTACGGAGAACAAGCGTTGCTTAGGTCCAAAGTGAGAGAATTGCAGGGGCTTTCGGATGCTCAGGTGGACGGCTTTTCTAACCGCTGCAGCCACAGCATTTGTCGGCCGCCGGAGGAAATTAACACTAGTATTTGTCGGGCTTTATTTAGGGGATAAAGGTGTATTACATTATAATCTAGAACGTACAAAAGCAACGCTATTACGCCTGGTAGGCCAGCCTACGTTTCTTGGTGTCAACTTGTCGTCGTGATTGACAAGATTGCCTTTAGGTTGACGATTGCAGCGTAGTCTTCTGAGGCATTACAAACCAACTTGTGATTGTCTCCAGTACTATTCCCGCGTCGGGCTTCTGTCTTTTCCATAAACTGAACGACCATGGGAAATCATCCTAAGGTACCGAACACGCGACCCTCGCAGTCATTTTTCCGTGTGATTAGAAGGCTGAAGACGAAGCCGTGGCCGTTCTTGCGTGCCACAAGCTTGACGAGTTTGTTTCCAGAGATTGTTTGGGTCAAGCAAGACACGGCGGCATTTATGTTATCAAATCAACGCGACCATGAAAGCAGCCTAAGATGTTGAAGAAAAATAAGGATCATATTGTCGAAGAAAGAATGCACAAAAGTTTAAACAAAGGCCGTCCTCCACTTGAAGGGTTGACATAGCAATCTCTTTCCACACTGACAAAACAAATTCGTCGCATATGTGAATGGAAACGCTTCCATCATTTCCCAAGGATCAGCATCGACAGTCTCCCCGTGAGAGCCCGAGCGAGTTCTGCTCTTGGTTTTTGCTATAAGCACTTGGCATTGTCGACGATCATCTGGACTTTGCAGGAATTAGATTCATGGTTGACATGAGGGTACAGTTCTTAATGAATTATCTCGTCATCGGAGTAGCTGTCATCTGAATTAGTCATAGGAGGCTGCATGGTGAAATCTTGACGTACCAACGACCTGTCCATTGATAGTGAAGAACCACCCAGCTTCGGTGTAGTCTACTCCACAGCCAACTGCATCACCTGACCCGAATTTAGAATTCATGGTACTATCGCTAGTTATTCATCATCCGCGAGATAGGCTATAGACCAGGCCCTGGAGGCTGGAGCCAATGAGTGCATTTGTCATGTCTGTGAACTCTCCGTACAAGCCAATGCAAACAAGCGGGGGTTCAGCTTTATCAACGCATTGCATACTAGCCTCTACCTGAGAGTATTTGGGAACATTTCTGGAGTTGACATAGAATGCATGTACCCTTTATACCTTATGTATTGACCGCATCCCCGACACCACGACTCAAGATCTCATGTTCAATGGCAGGCCAGGTTTTTAAGATGAGTTCTAGTTCATTAGAGTGTTATTTTGAGTTGATAGATCTGTGATTTAATGCTTACATCACGCGACTCACTTGTGAATTAACTTCGTCTTTTTCACGTCTTGACATGATGACTACTTGACATTCACTTACACCTGAGAGATATGGATAAGCGCGCTTGTTGGTCGAGGTTGCGTGAGCAGCAATGAGATAAAAGTCAAAGCCAACCTTACCACTGTTATCAGTAGTCTCCAGGATGATTTCAACAACTTCCCAGCCAATTCGGATCTAGGCTACTCCCATTCTGGCCGGGTCCTACGTGCCAGCTCTCCTACTTCCATAAATCGCTTCTTTCTCTAGGTGGTTAGATCAGTGCGGGTGAATAGAAAGCAACTTTTCGTGTGATTGATCTTCGATCGTGACAAAAGCCCGTGAATGTAAATAGCTTTGGACCAGATCTGTTAGGTACAATTGAGGCTAGTCCCTCAGAGTCCGTGATCATTACTTAATCCGAGTTATACGGAAAATGAAATCTATTGTTTTCTCTTCTATTTTCGGTCTTTTCACTCAGCTTCCTTCAAACACGACTTCTCTAAGGTACAGAAGTCTGCACCTAATGAGACTTGAGCACCTCGACGACCTCGTCAAACGTGGGGCCCTCGTCGTTGTACTCTACTTGGACCAAATCTAGTGCTGTCTTGCCTCTCCAGTTCTTTGCATCAATATTGGCCCCATGGGCTAGCAGTAACCGCACCACATCTACACGACCACGCTGAGCTGCCAACGACAAAGGAGTTTCCTCATGGATGGAAGTAAGTTCTATGTCTGCGCCATGGTCGAGAAGTAACTTGACAATATCCAAGTGCCCCTCCCCTGCAGAATAGCACAATGCGGTTCCGAATTCATCCTTAGCATTTACCTGGGCGCCACGCTGTAGGAGTAACCTTGTGCTCTCTACCCGGTGCTTGAAAACTGCCCAGTGGAGTGGAGTCCTGTTGGAATGCACGGTTCGGGCCTCCATATCTGAACCGGCATCGATAAGAACCCGCATGGTATCTTCGTGTCCATTAATTGCTGCCAGGGATAACGGAGTATGCTTATCCTCGCCCCATATAGCACCAACGTCCGCACCGTTCATGCATAATATCTTTACCACGCCAGCATGTCCTATTTCGGCAGCCAAAGCCAACGGCGTTTTACCAACGCGACCAAACGGTCTACGATTTGTAGCTTCTAATCGAGCACCGCTGTCTACAAGGAGCTTGACAGCAGTCTCAAGGCCTTGCTCGGCTGCGGAACACAAGGTTAGCGTCCTTCCTGGTTCAATCAACGCGATATCTGGCCCATCGGCGGTAAGTATCTCAGTGACCTCCACAACGTTGCTTAGGGCCGAAGGGACAGCGCGGGGCAGTAATCTGGGCTCCTCCCTCCCAAGCGTCCAGCCTGAGGCCTTGGCTTCAATGGCTAGCTTTTGATTTTGTTTGGCCGCTTCGCAAGCGGGGTCTCCAATAGAAGGAATGACCATCATGGATAGAGACTTCAGATGATCGGCAACATGGTTCCACATGAACATGCGTACTTTTTCGTAATCGCCGTTTTTGACTGTCTCCAGCATCCGTTCCGTGTCTTCGGGAATTTGTTCGCACAGGGGGCATACCACGCAATCACGAATAATATACCTCCGACATTCACGTCTTTCGTCAAAGTGGCCGAAAAGCGTAAGTTTCCAAAGTTCCGGGTGGCAATCCTGCACATAACTCGTCCACTGTGATTTGAACTCGAAGTTCATGGGGGTTTCATGGTCAGTATCGCACTGCCACGTCCAGGCATCGGGTGTATATAACCAATCATGATTGATTGACATATGTGCTGCCCACTCTTCACGGTGCATAAAGGGCTTGTTAGAGTGCTCACAATCATGGAGGAAACATGTGTACGGTTCGATGTGCTCGTCGACATGATGTTTCCATAGTGCAAGTATATTATCGCCAGGCTTTTTTAGCACCAACTCGCAGAAACAAAAGGGGCACTGAACTCCTGGTAGCTTTTGAGGGACTGTGTCCAAGCCAGGGCCTATCAGGGTTTCAAATTCAGTTACCTCGGGCAAGGGAGGATACTCGACATAATCACGCGCAGTACTAAGAGTAAACGCGCTCCTAAAGGTATCGAGCAGTGGAGGCTTAGGGTATGCGCCTTGCAATAGAGGTTTGCGTCTTTTCGCGATTGATTCACCCAGCTCCCTGCATAAGGCTTGACGAGCAGCCGGAAATCGATCTCGAATAAGTGTGATGATGTCTCTGCGGAATGATCCGTCCTTGCCCGTCACAACGGGCTGTTGAGCTGAGAAATGTGCAATTTCGATAGCACACTGGCGTAGATGATCTAGAGCAGACCCTATGGTCCACACCATATCCCTCCACATGAAAATATTGTCGAACCATGTGTATTTGGAAGGCGTTGTATCGGAATGGGGTTTATCTGTTACTGTTTGAAGTTAGTCAAATATACAAGTCAGCGGGGGTAGGGAGAGATTAGAACTTACCGCGATTCAGATTTTCTAAAATCACATTTAACCAATCCAACACCTCTTTGGATACACGATCAAGCCTTTTGAGCTTCTCATCGAGGGAGGACAATGGCTTCAGGGCACCTATCGTTTGAACCCAATACAAGAAGTTATGGCGTAGCGCTAGAAAGTTAGACTTATTGCGCTTTTCATCTTCCAAAAGTGCCACCGTTTCGCTCGGCCGGATCATCGTCTGGAGGAAGAGTTTATCATCATTGTACCCCTCGATACGTGCAAAAGCAAGGAGGCATTGGTGGGTGGTGGAAATAGGCATCGAAAGAGCCGTTTCGGTATGGCAGTGAACTTTGTCCATGGTAGCGTGTAGGTCTTGAATGAACAGTAAGATAGATCGATAGAAAGTAAGAACTGATTGAGGTTTGTGCTGTTGAGATATTGAATGAACTTGGTAATGGTAGGATTACCTGAGATTGGGGAAAGAACTCGCTTTATATATCATGAGAATGTATTGCCTCCGAACATAGCATCAGATTAAGTTATGGCCCACTCTGGGTCAAGACCTGATGTTCTAAACGAGCTAGCAACCCTACTGTGAACAATGGTGGAACTAAAGCTCTGACAAAAGTAACACAGCACCTACCTACCTCTTTGTTCTTTGAGATCAGATGTGCCCGGAAACCCATAGCTGATATCTTAACTAGCACAAAGAGCTTCGTTGTTCGAAATCGCTTGTAATGAATGTCTGGAACATGAGGTTTGGCTTCAAGGGACACGATTCAACTGCTTACTACAGAATGTATGCGAATACACAGGTGGTAAAAAAAATGGCCAGCACCGCAGAGACCGTTGAGCTCTAAGTTAGGGTGCAGACTGAGGTAGTCTTAGAACTCGGAGGTTGTGACTTCCTTTGCTAAACCGACTGACTCTATTCCTGAAACAGCTATCATCTTACCCTCTTCGAACTACTTAGGTATAATTGTCCCACTCGCAATGATGAGTAAACAGGCATAGCATATGGGGACGCAACTGCCAAAGGAGAGGCTTGTATTTGGTCCGTGACAACGCCTCGATGCTTGCCTTGTTCATCAAGAGCAGCTGAATAGTAGCTGTGATAAGGTTGTCGGTAGTTAAAAGAGGCTTTAGGCCCCCGCGCACAAATGTAAAGAACACCAATAAACACATACGGGCAAAATACTTATTGCCCTCACTGTTGCCTAAGATTCAAGATGAGCAAACTCCTTGGAAACTAGTCGACAGGTGATAGATGGGCACTTATGTACTGCGTAGTGCAAAGAGGTCATGCCACTATCATCCTAAACTGACCCATCTACTCCACATTGTATCAAGGTCTTGACGGCTTAAATGTTGCCCATATTTGACTGGAATGATTGAAGGAGTTTGCCCCTTCGTATTCCTGCTTCTGAGTAGACTCGCTAGCTTCGAGCCTGTCCCCTGACTATTAGGAACTACCAATAGTAGCTGAATCATACTGGTAGTACCTCCAGATGCAGGCACCTGGAGCGCCATCATCCCACTGTCATCCTTCATTTTAGGGTCAAGGAGCCACTTAAGAAGCATCGATGAGACCTTTAAGGCTCCTTCCTGAGCTGTCATTTGAAGTGGACAAAAGTGAACAACTTCGGTACCCATCTTGTCGAGAAGGTCCTTCGTCAGGTGGAAATTATCGTTTGCCATAGCATAGACTAAATAAGAGATGAGCAAGCGATCAGGGAAGGGCACCACTGTTTCTGAGCATCCCCTGCGCGTCTCAATATCGACAAGATCTTCTACAAGTGTTGCAGGCGAAAGAAGTTCTGGGACAAGAGCTCCGAGTCAAACGTAGTAGCCAATGTGGAATACCGGTGACTTCTATGAGCTTGCCCTGACCTCAGGCGATGGTCTGTCGCGCTCATCGAAGAAAGGTTGTCCAGCAGCAGCAGGAATCGGCTCTTTATCCTGGGTTACCCCATTTCCCGCCTCTTCTTTTGAGAAGAACAGACGCATGGGCTTGCCACGATAGATAAGGTACAATTGCAACCACCTTCGTCCAAGCGGTGACTAGATAAATGAAGAGGCGGCGGGGTGCTTGAGCTGTCTGTTAGGTTTGTCGATGAGTAGGTAGTTGCTTGGGAAAGAGTCTACAAGCATAGTTGAGGGTTTCGAATCCTTTGACGTGATATTCTTGACCTTGATTTGTGAGTACCCAATTTAATATGGCAATTTCTTCATTCTTGGTGGATGCCATCTTTCCAGCCTCAATGTCGTGCTTTCCTACCTCTTGTAAGACAAGACGCAGGTGATGAAGGCAAACTTCTGTGAGGCGGCCGTGATCGTACAGGTCAAGTTGCTCCACCATAGGCCCAGGAGGAGACTTCCTTAGTATAGGATGGGCGATATATCTCTTGTCATCTTCACCTGTGACTATGCAGCCTAGATGTCGGTCCAAGTACCTTCTCATGTCTACAGATGTTCTGTCTGCAACTTCTCCAAAATCCTTATCTTGAAGTGTTGCCGCAACCTCAACGGCAAGTTCTTCCAACCTCAGTGATTTCAGGGACCTTATCATTCAAGAGAGTACTGAAGAAACCCAAGACTTATTCCATGGATGCTTATTTAGAAGAATCCACACCTCATCTGGGAAGAGACCTTCCGTCTTACGACCAGTCTCGATGCCTCCATTGATAGCTTGCACAGTAGTCAAGGAGAAATGCTGAAATGGATTGGTGAGATATGTGCTGGTCGCCAGAAATGGGCCCTCAAAAGAGCCGACCGCTTTCATCACTTCGTCTCTGACCTTTTCCCTGCTTCTATAGCTAAGAGAGACTGCCCCTTACTTAGCCTTGGCTCGGAGGACTCCCAAGTTTCCTTTCTGTGAGACCTTCCAGGTAGTATAGTTCGCATTCAAATCGAGCTGCTGAGTTCCTTGAAAGGTAAGCTGGTCCATGAGCCGGCGACTACTGGTAATAAAGGAGTCATTGGTTCGACCAGATCCTTGAAGAAGATATAGATCTTCTGAAAGCTACGAGCGCAGTCCAGTGGGCCAGTCATCATAGTCTTAAATAAGGATGAGAACTTTTGCCTGATTCCAGGTATGAACGATTGATGAAAACACAGCAAGGCAATTTTCCTCTGTCCAAGACTCACACTGCAGCAATTCTGCCATCATGTGCTGGACACACTGAAACAAGATTGGTTTCTAAGAGATTACTTGGTGTATGAAGCTCGAACGCAAACCGTGCCGTGTCGGCACACCATCGGAAGCAGCAAAAGAGCTCTCGAGGACAATAACTCGTGATTTCTGCCTGATTTCATGAACAACTAGCTTTAGTAGAATAGACTCTCCACGCCCATTCGCGCGTACTTTGCTGCGATCATGTGGAAGCTATGAGAGGTCTGGGATACTGATACCACAGGAGCTGAGAGGGCCTGGGGGAGTCTTCCTGGCAGCCTTGTATTTTGAGCTACTGCCAGGTCCAAGGATGGGGATGATTGCCGCCTATAAGGTTATGGTTTAGGCTACGAACACGGGCGATAATAATGACTACATGTCTAACGCCACGATTTAATAAGCTATGTACAATGGTAGACCAAGTTGCGTATTGATTGGGGTTGTAGGAGCATCCTTGATGTAATCCTCAATATCAGCTTTGCCAGCGGTCGCTATCATGGTTTCAACGACCTCTCTGTCAATGTCCATCGAGGATACAACTCCTTAAGTTGCTATGCGACGAAACAATCCGCCTTTTTCCAGTTAGCTGTGGCACCAACCATGGAGGGGCAGTGATTCTCGGGTGTCTGATCTTTAAACTATGATAAAGGAAGTACTCGAGCGGGTATTGGGGATTGTGACGATCCTCAAATCATGAATGCTATTTTTATTTCATTCAAACTTGAATTTTCGAACGTATCTAAGTTATCTGTGCTGATTGAAGCTATCAGCTGCAAATGATACATCTGATTCGCAACTAAGAAAATCCAACCAACCGTTGTCCTCGACTACGCTGTGTTATCAGATATAGCTGCATCTTCTGTATATAATACTATACTCTAGGGATGCGGCCTAGATCAGAGCCAAGGACAAAGAGAGCATATTACTCTGGCTGATAGATCGGGTTCGTGCTTAATGCCTCAAAAGTAGAAATACAAGGCGTAACATAACAGGAAGCTACAATATTGTAATATTCTATCAAACCTCTTTTGGTAGAACCCTGACTAGCTGCTTCATTTCAACTGGCGGAGAAGCTTTAGGGTCCTGACTATCCTTCTCGCTTGTACTTGACGTTATTGTCGTTGGCCGCTCGATCGGTACTGGAGATCTACCATTTAGTAGTTTTGGAATTTGTCAAACTATTGTTAGGAAATTCTGGAAGTGACTTGAGAAAGAGATAAGAAAAAGCCCCTGATAGATTTGTATCTCTGAAGTATTCTAGGTCAGAGATATACGAGTAAAAACGCTTTTTAGTCATTAGCTAAATCTCACGGGTTCAGGACCTGTAAGGTCCTTCCTTGAAGCTATTCGCAGATCAAGGTTAGCTGCAGCCAATCAGATTAGCCGGAAGAAGGTCCTTCCGGGGCCAAAGGCGACGGATTGGGTTGGCCTCCGTGCAGCGACCACCAAGGCAAGGGTGCAAGCCCCTCGGGGGATAGTCACGAAATTCCCTCTGTCAACGTTGAATCAATCTTCCTCTGCGAGGAGAAAATTCCGATACTGAAGATAGCTTCAAGAAGAATAAGAGGTATAGCAAGAAGAGGCACAGCGAGAGGCAACGGAAAAAGACCATGGGATCAAGGTAGGCGGAGGCATTGCCTCGCCCAGGACAACAGCAGGCTGTCAGCATCAAGGTTTAGTATCTTTTATACGGCGAGAAGAAAACAGCTGGGAGTTGTAATCTCGAGATTCTGGTACAGATGCCATCTAGGAGGCTGGATTCAGCGGGTTAGAAGATCATAACAGCATCGCTAGTAAGGTCGATGTGCAATATTTTCCTCGTCTTAAGGCAAGATCGTGTAGTAATACCTGCTACTTCGCTAGGCTAGGGTCATCCAAACGGGCTATAAGACGCTGTTATATGAGATGCAGCACCGTGGTAATCTGGATCAACGGTGACAGACTTGCAGCGGCGCATCAAAATACTCTTCATGAACCAAAAAGGAGTTCCTTCTGGATCTGATCTCATCTTACCGAGAACGGCTCAATTGAGGACCGTCATCGTCTCTTGCTTAGTAATGGCATCCTCTTAAGAGGGGAACCATCCTTTTAGGAGCGGAACCCGATTACCTATAGTGCCACTAGATGTGACTTTGGACTGTATCATGAATGCCAGTAGATGAAATTGAATTATAGATTATTTGCTGGACTCTGATTGTCACTATTGTTTGTTTACTTGCTACAGGGCGCCTCATATCTTCTATATTCCCATATACAGTCTGAGGAAGAGAATGAGGCTCAGGACGGGAATAGTGGCGGGGGAAATGGAGCTCAGTTGCTCTAGCTGATGTTACTTTGGTTACCGGGCTCTTATTGGTCAGCTGTGAAGGGCACAGAAACAGTCATCAGGATCTCAGGAGGTTGAGATCTCAGGAGGTTGAGAAACTCCGGAAATGCGTGGTTGCACAGGCTTGGGTATTTGATATGTCAATATTTAATCCATGACGATATCATAAAGCCTAATGCCCGGAAATGATAAGTTGGTTTGGGGCAACTAACACTGGGTGTGTGCTTTGAACTCTCTCACAGTACAGCGATCGGAACTCGTTCGACCAGTGTCAAGCCAACACATGATCCAGCTCTACAGTTCGATCTTGTCGGTGTTTGGATGCGGACCAGATCTGGCCCTGATTGGTGAAAATGGTGTTGATTGTTGGTATCGGGAACTATGAAACAAGGCATCCGCAAAGGATGTCATTGCCAGTCCTGAATGGACCACTTGGCTGACTCTAAAGATATCGGGACAAGGATGGAATCTTACAAAACTCTGCCATTAATGGCCATAGCCCAGTGGCAGTGAGATCGCGACATCCGGTGGCTGAAACAAAGGCAAGCAGAGTCCCGCGACATTCGGCTTTCGCGCTTTGAGAATAACCGCGAAGCCAAGAGGCACACCGCTCACCAACACTGTAGGCGGGCATTCTAGGCTGCTTGTGAAACCATCCATTAGAAATAGTAATTTAAGCTTGTATCAGCACTGTACTGGCCTTTGAGTGGAAGAGCATTGACCCTCCGAGAATATTCAGCCCCTATTCATTGCTTTTGATCCGAGAACTTATTCACACCGATTTATTGGATAATACGAAAGTCTGGACCAGGGCCATGCGTCCGATACACAGCGGTTCCCCGTCCCAAGAGCTTTGCATGTTGGTATGTGAGCAATAGCCTACCTCAGCGAACACTCGTATTGGCGTAAGCGAAAATGATTACTGACAGCCTGATAAAGTTGTGCCACACAAAACTGACCATGATTGGTGTCTCTTGGTAGATTAAGTCATGGACTCAGTGCGGGGCCATTTTTCTCTTTGCGCTGAGATTGTTCTCTATTCACACGGCCCATAGCAACATTTTGAAGCAGGCAGCGCGCCACGCATTGGCGTACTGATCGGGAACTGAGAGAAATGGCGAACGCATGCGAAGCGGTCAGAATCAGCCATTTCGTCCCGAACCTTGCCGATGCTGGTGCTGGTAAATGCCTGGCGCTCAACCAAGCTTCCGACAGGTCAGGTCTACGAACGTAGCGAGGGTCTCATGGCTCTCGTGCCGGTCTCTTTAGCCGCATAGAGTCATCAGGCAGCAACGCGTGCTTCTCAGAACAGAATATACATCGTGATAATTGTCGATGAGTAATCCCTGCCACAGGCTCTTGTCCCGTCCTCAGCTGAAAGCTCTTCAGAGTCTGTCTCCCAGGTGGCTGGCGAATCATCGCACCACGATGCTCCGACACTCTAGGACTTTCTTCTGACACGTCGTACCCAAGACCGAACCGTCGTCGATAATATACCCATTGATTGGCGATACGTAGCCCTTTAGTGATTGACATGTCGATCGATTGCCAATACTCTGTCGATAGTGTCCAGCCATTCCATACGCTTGCCCAAAGGCTGAGGTTCCCGTCCATGGGTCCTTTTGCAGAGGATCCTTGGCAACCGATGCATCAACGTAGACCCCCTCAAGGCCTTGGCGAATGATTACAACAGCTGCTTGTCTTCTGGCACCGGCGTGCTCCCCTTCACTAGAGAAGCACTAGGTAGAGGAACCAAGCTCTAGTCGTGAAGTTGCTGCGCATCGATGCATATCACACCAGCGCGACGCGCAGGCCTGGCGCGCCCTTGCAGACCTCCCCTGTTGGAGGCGGCAGCGAAAATCAGCTTATCGCGGCTGACGGCTTTGGCTAGTGCATTGACAATACTGGCGTTATCCTCCTCATAGGCGAAAGACATGGAGATAATGTGGACGTCACACTCATCGACAGCCCAGTCGATCGCCTAGACAGACAGACAGACGTGTCAGCATTGGGGTTGCACAAGGCACTTTTAGGCGTTTCAGAAACGCAACCCACCTTTGCAATGTTGTGCATGTATCCCGCCTCGATTTCCTTGCCAATGCATATCTTGCCCACATAGATTTTAGCTGTCGGGGCTGTTTTGAGAAGCAGTTGCACCATTTGTGTCCCATGGCCGTGGCTGTCTTGTTTCCAGCTGTCTTCTGCGTCAACGAAACTCTTGCTTTGGGATTCATTGATGTGCTTGGCCGCAATTGCTCCACTGATCAGGGCGATGTCACTACTGACCCCGGAGTCCAGAACTGCAATTCGTATCCTGGGGTGTTGTTTCCGGCCAAGCTGAGGATTCTCCGACCGAATCTTTTTGATGTATTGTAAAAGCGGAGTGATCTTGTCGAAAAACTCCTTTGGCTTTTCCCTATTGAAACATCTTGTTGAGACAGAGCTCTACTCACGGCTTTCCTGGAGTTCAGCGACTTACCGTTCTTGTATGCTCGGCATGGCATCTTCATCATCAAACAAGATTGCCCTTTCTCCCGCTGCCAAGGCCTTACTCACTGGCGGGGCCAAAGAGCGGCCAGGCCCCAACATGTCATTGAAGATGTCAGCGAAGACTTGCGCTGAGTCTTTGAAACTGTCGACAAGCCTGTCATATAATGGTTGTAGGATCTTTTTGTAGGTGATAGCCAGCCCTTTCCTGTCTGCGGAAATGCGTGGTTGATCGAGGCTATCAACAAGGCTGTTAAATTCGACGCATGCCTTGGCGATCTGACGATAGTTATCATCGACGCGACCGTCCCATTCAGGGTCCTCCAATATCCGATTCAAACGTGAAATATTTGGTCTTTCCTTGGAGAGTTTGTCTTTCTCTTCATTATACCAACTGGCCTTGCGATCGGCCTCTAGTTCCATGATAAGAACGCCAAGCGCTGCAATATTGTCGCTCCGCAGTCTTCCATCTTGCTTAGATTCCAGAGTGCACTGGATTCTCGGACACCACTGCTGAAGGGCGTCTTTGATAGGTGGTGGCAAGAAAACGTGTTCTAGTTCGAGGTGCTGCTCGATTCATGGGCTGTTGCTGAGTTGGAATACTGAAACCGCAAGGAGTACTGAGGCCAGCTTGCGGTACATGGGTTGCAAGCGTTTGTCCTTGGTCAGATGATCTAGAGACTCGTCTTGTTCAACAATATTTGGCAATTCTCCCCCTCCTCCAGCATCATCTACCCACATCATCTCTGAATCGAATGCGACATGTAATACCCCGGGCCGTGCACCGTCTGACAAAGCAGCGGAGCACAACTCACGCGAGTGAAAGACTTTGAACGAAGAAGGCCGGTCGAATGATCTTTTCCATTGTAAGAACCTGCGGTGACATTGCTGCGCACGGAGACGAGACGACTGACCTTGTGAAGACGGCGGAAATTGAGTCTGTTTCTTGGCATGTCTTAATGTCCATCACGAGTTGATCTTTCTTGAAGCCAGACAAGTAGAGTTTCACTATGTGAGGGGATTTGCAATTGGGATTGTTGGCCATTTTTGTGAAGAGTGATGTGCACGTGGATGAAAATACGTGAGCATGTTGAATGATGTCGATGTCTTCGGCTGTGATGTCGCCTGCCACTGCCTCTATATCCCAGTCTGCGGCTGAGCCCTCCGAAATTTGTTTCAATGCACGTTGGAAGTTGCTGGTTGACGTATGCAGCTTTTCAATCATCTTGAGAGCTCTAGGGAAATAGATGTATCGAGACAGTTCTATGACTGATTGATAAGAGTATATCGGGCTGTCGTTCGATTTTGTGCTGCTGGGCCTCGAAGAGTTCGATCGGCTGCTGACGTGGTCGTTGGACGATTTGTCATCCGTCTGAGGTCTCTCGCGATATTTAAGGGCCTCCCATAATGCCACGAGTTTCGGAAAACCGCTCAGTGTTCTCAGGTGATCTGAGTCCATGGGGAGCTGGGTAAAAGGAAGCAGTATTGCGTCAGTAAAGAGCGTCAAAAGCTGAAAGTCGGTACCGATTCAAGCTTGCTCACCTTGATACGCTTCTCCTTGAAAATGTCCTTGTGGACTAAGTCCTCCAGGTCGCCCAATAGCGCACCCAGGCTATTTGCAAATGACTCCCAATCCGCAACATCGCTTGACAATTTGCCAATATCAAGACTCTCCTTTCCTGGGATGTTCAATTCGAGATAGTTCTGTAGGTGCTCGATTGCAACCCCGAGCTGGGTTTTGTCATGTTCGGACAGCGAGCCAAAACGACCAGAAGGCACATCATCGGTGCTCGGGAACGTATCGGCGGCATTGTACACTCGGTGGGAGGCTTTTAGGAGTCGCCATCTGAGGCGGACGGAAATAACATCCGACATGGCCCAGGTGCTGCACTGTTGAGCACTGTACGGTGCCTATTGTTGGAAGAGGACTCGAAAGAAGAGACGTGATGAACAAAGAAACAAGGGAGATAAAGACCGATGGTGAAAACTCGAGTCTTTCATTTTCTTGTTCTTTTTTCGTTTTTCCTTTCTTTTCTTTTGGTTACACTTTGTGGCCTCCTCAATCGGTCGTTCATACCTAAACGATGAGGCACTCGTACCTAGCCCTGATCTGTTTCAGGCACGCGGCGTTACACAGCTTCGTCATTCATTGTCGCGACATGCCCTCATTTCGCACAAACCAAATGCATTACGTGGCATTCCAGGTCCTCTTCTTCGTGACCGTCTCTCAATTTGTCGACCTTATAAACCGTAACCCGCGCACATTTCCTATCTATCTATCTTTTTGTGACAGGTCATTTCCTACTTACAAGACTCCATGGACGACCAACACGACCATCTGGATACGGCCACGTTGGCGCCCATCGTCAATATCACTCGCAAGTGCCTTGAAAGATTTGACTTCATCGAAAAAACTCAGGGCAAAGACCTCGTCCAACGTCTGATCAATGCACCGCCTTCAAGGGGGCTACAGCGCTCATCGTTTTCCTTCCCAGGACTACACAATCATTTTCTTCGTTGGATACACGAATCAGGAGCCCTCTCTCCATTGGACTTATCGCTTGATGAGAAACTCAAAGGCCTCTACCGCCTCTTCTCTATCGTAAATCGCATGTTGGAATGGATTCTGCGAGACCTAGACCGCCGTAAGTTAACCTTCTTCGCCCGTCCGCTGGTTTTAACACTAATATATTCCCCAACAGTCGCAAATATTCCATGTTCAGCTGCCTGGTCTCCCTTGGCGAAACATGACGACCACTTGTTGCTGTGGCAAGAGGCTTCAATGTCTATAGAGGATGCTGTGGAGCACCTGCACTCGGTGTCTCTTGATATGAGGAGATTATCCCCTCAACAGTTTGAGGACTTGCTGACGACAACTGAAACTGAGGAGCACGAGGCTTTCCGTGAGAACATGATTGCATTAGTTGGTCGTCGTTTTCCTGCTGCGCGCAAAGGCTTGTGCGATCTGTTGGGCAAGTCAATAGCAGCAAGACGTCGTATGCTGTTGCAAGCACAAGATCGCGAAAGATCTGCCAACAGAATGTCTAAACAAACTGCCTCTACTCCTAGTCAAGGCAAGAACACTCGTCCGAGATCCAAGGCGGGTATCAATCAAAAAGGTCAACGGACCCGATCCGCCGGCTCTGCATCCTCCACTAGTGTGACAACAGCCTCTCAGTCTAACCTCCAAGCGCCTATTCTGGAGGAAGTCCAAGGCCCGTCCCGAGAAGCTCTCAGGAGGGTTATGGGTAATTTCACTGCCCCACAGCATGACTCTTCTGATTATCCCCCCATGCCCAAAGTTAGTCAAGGGCAAGCAGGAGTTCAGTGTCCCCTCTGTTTCGTTGTTTGGGAGCAAACAAACTCAGAGTCCGTGAATCTGGGGCTATGGAAACTCCACGTCGATGAGCACGTCAAGCCATATTCGTGTCTTTTCCCTAGATGCGCGATGTCTCTCACATTATTTGTGCACCAACAAGAATGGGAAGACCACATGGAATCTGTACATTCCAGTGACTGGCTACGAGAGGTCCACACAAAACAGTGGTATTGCGATTCTGGCCACGAAAACACGTTTGCCTTTGAGCTCGAGGCTCAATGGAGAGAGCACGTGCTGGATCCGGCGTCTCACCCAGAACGACAAGAAACCCCCAATCGATTTCAGCTCAAGGCCTTATCTCAACTGAAACAACGGAGAGTTCTGCGCGATATGTACGTTTGCCTCTTGTGTGACCAGATTCCTGAAGAGGTACAGCAGAAGCTGGAAACAGGTCATGTCAACCCAGCCGACTTGCACAACTGTGTTTTGAGCCATGTTGCTACTCATTTGAAGTCGCTTTCTCTGTTGGCCATTCCTTTTCTCACAGAAGGCGCTGATGAAACGGCCAAACTTGATCAAGATTCGGTTGTTTCCACAAAAGGCCAGACCAACAGGCTTCTCGATGACGATCCCCTGCCAGACCTACAGATACCAGCTTCTGAGATACCTCCAGGTCAATCGCCTGACCTCGAACATTGGATCATTGACCTCAATATAGAAGAAGGATTGGATGATGATTTCGAGGGTTATAGGCAGCCTAATGAAGCACCGGACTTAGCCAGGCGTTCCTGGACCGATTACCTTCCTCGATGCGGGGATGTGCAAGATCCCGAAATTTTAAAGCTTCTTGGAAGGTATCCAGTTCCGAAACATTTGGGCTCAAGCGAAACGCAAACCTCTACCACTGATGTTGACTTTCAAGACGATGTCGGTCAGACGGCCCTATCACTCGCCGCCCAGGAGGACGATACAGAGACCATGAGGCAACTCATCATTATGGGAGCAGACATTGAACTGGCTGATCGAGACGGGAAGACTCCCCTGTGTTGGGCAGCTGCCGAAGGTAAAGAAAGTGCTGTCAAGTTCCTTCTGGACACAGGTGCTCAGATTGAAGCCACAGAGCACATATATGGACGCACTCCGTTGTCTTGGGCTGCTGCAAGAGGTCATTCCAGTGTCGTGCGGGTACTATGTACGTACGGTGCGCTTGTGAATGCACTCGACAACTCGAAACGCACTCCAATGTCGTGGGCAGCTTCAAGAGGAAACGAAGAAACCCTGCAGCTTCTCCTCGACGCCGGTGCAGAGTTCAAGTCCAGAGACTCTGACTTTTCGAGAACTCCACTCCACTGGGCAGCTACCAGAAACAGGGCAAAGAACGCAAGTCTTCTTCTGCAGCATGGAGCCGAGATTGAAGCTGTCGACGGGTCATCCAAAACGCCGTTGTGCTTAGCCTCTCAAGATGGATATGCTGCTGTCGTCGAGGTACTACTCAAGAATGGCGCAGATATTGAGACCCTGCATACTAAGTATACACAGACTCCTTTGTCTCTGGCGTCTGGGGGCGGATATGAAGATGTGGTGCAGTTGCTGCTGGAGCATGGGGCCAAGATCGACGCAAAAGATTCCCAAGGCAAGACAGCACGGGACTGGGCTATGAAAGAAGAACAGAATGAGATCGTTAAACTGCTTGAAGCTTATCAGTCGGAGCGGATTTCTTTGCCTTATAGATAGAACTGTTTGAAGTTTGTTGACCTACCTAAGTTACTTGTTACACAGAAAAGATTAAAAAACCACAAAAAGAATAGACATCATTTATGCTTTTTGCCAGCCACATATCTTAACTACTAATAGCACATTAACCTCTCACTTTCCCGCGTTTGTACACTATTCTGCCCTTGTTTGGTCTCTCCAAAGTAGACATCGTGGCTTGAAACGTCGAATGCCTGGTCCAAAATGGGGAACAAAAGTAATTGAAATACTACTACACTCAGATGATGTTTTGTAAATGGGCAAATTTGCAAGCAATATGTCAGAAAGGTCTGTCACAAGGCTTTGATACGTCTTAAGTGGTGACATGAGCAAGCTTGATAGACAGTTTCGTTAGTATAAGAGTTGTCGTTCGTGTTGAAATTGAACCGGCTCAGGTTCTTGATCTGGTCGGCTGGACCTAATGTGCTGGGACAAAGATTTACTTCCGTTGGTGACGCTCCCTGCCATCGCCCGTGGCCGTCGAGAGTTTCATCCTTTGTTTTTACCCTTTACTCCATCTTTTCACGAGACAAAGAGTGAAGAGCAGCGTCACGGAGACGCCATTAAAGACTATCTTGCTCTGTGTACTGACTTACTTATGGTAGCCTGCCGCTAAAGTTTCTGTGCTCATTTAAGCTTTCAGCCATGAGTCTCAACTGCAAGCAACACGTCCCTGGGAAGGTATCTTTGGAGAAGTTAGAAGTGAAATAACTCATTGTCAGGACCTGATTGCCAAAAGCCTGTCCTTTGAAACCTGCTTGGCATGGGAGACAGAAGAGTAACCCATCAAGATAACAGCTCACGGAAATGATCCCAAATAGTCTGATAAAAAATACTTTACGATGCTCGCATTAGATACTCGACCTCACACTCATATCAGTGCGGTTATCTACATCCTAAAACTAATGCATCCATGCAGCACACTCGGCCGAATTGACTACAAATGACTCACAACGGATACTGATTTCCGCAACTCCAGACGTCTTTACGCCCGTAACACGAAGCTATCAGACACTAATAACGTCGGTTCGACGATATCCCCGTGGGGTAATTCCTTTAAACGCCGATCCTCCGAAGTTATCTCCACAAGCTCAACCAGGTTGTTGACCTTCTTCGGGGTGTTTACTGGCGCCAAGTGATTTAAGCTTATTCTTGATATGGGGCATTGAGTGCGGGGATGTAACAACAACGTGATGATCCAAGGTTCGGTTACAAATCTATGTTGCAGTCATGCTAGTTTCAGACGACAGTTTCCGAGTTGTCCCGAGAAATGACTTCTCACGCGAGCAGACAGAACGTGGCCGTGTAGCCAATAGATCACCTCGGTGCGTAAAACTAGCCATTCGTACAACATGATGGCTAGGCTGCAGTATGGGCATAACGAGACACTTCATGATAAGCAACAGCCAAGATCGGCAGTCGTTACAACGCCGAGACAATAACGACTCATCTACAGAGGTCTTCACTGGCGCCAAGTAAACGCTTGTAAAAGTCCCTATGGGAGAATAAAGCACAGGGTAGTATTCGCCATAAGCAATCGACTGATTCAGGTGGGGAAGAGGTGCGTCTCGGAGCATAGTTCTGTTGGCCGAGGGCCAATGGCGTTGGAGCGGAGACAGTAACGCTCGAATTTATGCTTGAAGCTTGTAACGGGAGCTAAACTCTGAATGGCGGGCCGTTTGGTAGATCTCCAAGAGTTGGCAATTAGACCCTTACGATTGAGGGACTTGGCGGGGAGAGGACTTTGTAAGAGGGTATTGAGAACAGAGACATTGCGATTGCTGAATCGCCCAAGGGTCGATGTTTGACATCTATGAAAAGCCTATTCGTGAGAGTACTGATGTAAGGTGTTACACGTACGTCATCAAAAATGGTGACATGCTATCAACGTTCGCAACCCATATGAACAAAATACACACGGAAATGCAATCTCATCCCTCTTCACCACGGAAAAGCACCCTTGACCATCCCCTCATCCCAATCTTGGCAACTCCACACTCACACCCACGATACCTTGTTTGCCTACCCCACGGGGAAAACGTGGAGCAAAATAGACCCCGAGCTTCTTTCCAACGGCCCAGCCACTGGGACAGCAAGACATCGTCATCACAAAGATAAAAAGGCCGCAGTGCCCCCGTGTTCAAAAGAGGGGAAGACAGAGACTTTTGCCAGGTATCTACTCACTTACCAGCTTTTGTCTTTTGAGAGAAATCTTTCATCTTGATATCTTTACTTATAACTTTGTTTTATTTCGATAATCTATGGGCTGGAATACTCATGCGTCGGGCACCAATGATCCGCCTGAGGTGCGGAACTGGCGAATCCACCTGATTGCCACGGTGGCTAGCATGTCCGCCCTCGCCAGTGAGTTCCCAAGCTGTTTTGACAAGGCAATGTACTGACTTAGACAGTCGGATATGATACTTCTGTTATTGGAGGTTTGTACCACTCACCTGTGCTCTATGATAGACCCGTGTTGACCAGATAGGTACCATGGCATTGACCTCTTTCATGAGAGACTTTGGCCTTGACCTCGTCGAAAAGACCCAACGCGACACCATCCAGGGAAATATCGTCTCCACCTTTCAGGTAACCTCTCCTCCCCCTTCACTCTGTTCTCTTCCCTCTTCTCTAACATATCAAGGCTGGCTGTTTCTTCGGTGCGCTGTTCACCTTCCCCATCGCCGAGAAATGGGGTCGTAGAAAGACCATCATGGGCGCAGCCCTAGTCTTCCTCCTCGGCGGCGCCCTCATGACCGCCGCTAACGGCAACCTCAACATGATCTACGGCGGCAGAGTAGTCGCCGGTCTCGGCCTCGGAGCTTCCTCCCTCACCGTCCCCGTATACATCAGTGAGACAGCCCCGCCGTCCATCAGAGGCCGTCTCGTGGGTATCTTCGAAATCGCCTCGCAGGGCGGCGGTATGCTTGGTTTCTGGATCAACTACGCTACCGACCGCACCATCGATGTCAACACGAAGACCCAGTGGATTGTTCCCTTGGCGGTACAACTTCTCCCTGGTTTGGGTCTTGCGCTCGGTATGCTTTGGTGTCCCGAGTCGCCGCGCTGGCTAGCACGTGGTGATCACTTTGAGGCGGCGGAGAAGATTCTCGCGCAGATTAGGGGTCTTCCGGCAGAGCATGAGTATGTAAGGAGGGAGATGGGCGATATTCGTGCGCAGGTTGAGGAGCGCAGTACGAATAAGATGAGCAAGAAGCAGCAGTTCAAGAAGCTTTTCCAAAAGGGCGTGCGTAACCGCATGGGCATTGGAATGGCTCTCATGTTTCTGCAGAGTTTCACTGGCGTCAACATCATTACCTACTACGCGCCCCGTATCTTTGAGAGTCTTGGAATTCCAGGTACTTCCCTGAAGCTCTTCTCCACTGGCTTCTACGGCATCTCCAAGACCCTCGGTATGGTACTCTTCACCTTCTGGGTCGTCGAGAAGGTCGGTCGTCGGAAGGGTCTCATCTGGGGTGCTGCACTCGGTTGTATTCCTATGTGGTATATCGGCGGGTACGTGATGCAAGCCGACCCAGCAGCCGCAGCCGCAGCTGGTGTTGTGAACCGCGACGGCTGGGGATACCTCGCCATCGTGTGCGTCTACATCAACGCCATCATCATCTGTGCGACATGGCAGGGCATCACATGGACTTACGCATCCGAGATCTTCCCTCTCGACATCCGCATGCTCTGCGTCGCCATAACCACAGCCGACACATGGCTTGGTTCATTCATCATCGCGCGCTCAACGCCCTACATGATCTCCGACCTAGGCTACGGCGCCTACTTCTTCTTCAGCTCGATCCTCGTGTGCATGGGAATCTGGGCTACGTTCTTCGTCCCCGAAACAAAAGGTGCGTTACATTAACCAATCCTTCTAGACTTATTCTACAGCATGGCTGACATGCATATTTGCACAGGTATCACCCTCGAAGACATGGACGCGCTATTCGCCAAGCCCGTGTACAAAACGGTCTGGGCGCAGATGCGCGGTAAAGCGGTCGTGGAAGAACATCGCCCCGAGTCTCCATTCGAAGACGACGAGAAGGCGCATGAGCTAAGAATACCTTAGCTTCCTCGCTCCGCCGGGGTTTTTTCTTTTTTGCAGCCTTAGATAAACAAATGAGAGAGCTTATCGGCTGCAACCATTGGTGTCCCCCCCTGTGAAACTGCTACGCCGTGAATGGGTGGTGTGATTCTGACTGCCGTTCCAGAAGGGGACGTTCTCTCCGAAAGGTAAAAAGTCGTGCCTTTTTTTTTAAGTGATGACAGCAGGGCCCTTCCATGTCTCTGATCCGCTACGGCGCTTTCTTATTTCGACCGCAACTCTTGTCTCCCCTCTATCCATAATATTACCGTGTCGCCTACACACCCAAATTCCATAGATACAGTGCTAGAGTGCTTTGTTTACCCCGCAAAGCTTCCCCAGACTCTGACGTAGATTATTCCCAAGTTTGGGATTTCCATTTGTCATAATAACACCTGGGCCCTTTTGCTAGTGTTACAGTGAGTGGCTTTGTACGTGCGGCCGACCAGCTGTTCGCCAAGAAAAGAGAGTGGTGATGTTATTGGTTTGTGGATTGGGGATAACCGCGGGACATTCCCCATTGGGGACCCAATTTGGGCTTTTGTGATTTCTTCGTTTTTTATCACTGCCAAGACTGCCCGGCTGTCTTGGCGCTGAGGAGAAGGGGTTGTTGTTGGATGGTGAGAGAGATTGCGGTTGTAATCTTACCAGGTTGAAGTTGGCCAAGAGATAAGGGAGAGTTTCGGGGGCCGGTTGGAGAATGGAATGATCTTTTGTCTTGAGATACTCTCACTTAAATGAGAAGAATGCGTGCAGGCGTGGTGATGAAACTGAGACTGTCTTGAGGAGTGTTTGTCCTGACTCAAATGCCAACCAATGAGACACGCTCTAAATTAGACACCAACAGCCCCAGTTACTCCGTTAGCTTTTTAACAATATTTAACGTAATAAATTCCCACTTTGCCCGATCGCATCCCCGGATTTGCACGGCCAATCTCAATGAGGATGGAGATAATGCATCTCAGCACAATTGGCTGACCCAGCCACCAACCCTAATCGTTAGCTGATGATTGGGAATAACCTCCCCAAGTCATGTTTATCTCCTTCCCTTTCAAGATGATACAGAATCGCTTGGCGTCGGAGGCCCCAAGCGTTCGGGATCTTTGACAGATTTCTCGGCAAAAGCTGGGCGTAGAATTTGATCTTTGGAGGCGAGTTTGGGGTAACAGTAACGCTCAACGGTAACAAATTGTGTGTAACATTTGTGAAAATGATTGCTCGCCACTAAATTAACAATTGAGAGCAAACAAAAAAGCCAGCGCGTCATACCCACCCATACCTCGTGATAAACATTTTAAGCTTGTTGCTTAGCTCGCCCTCCCAACCAGCGCCACGGTCCACTCGTGCATGAGCGAGTCTGAGTGAGAAACGAAACCCCAAATCAGACCAAGACATGCGCCAAGACGGACCCCAACCCGTCCAATCCTCCAGTGAGAAGATCGATCGTTGCACCTTCCGTTCTCAGTATCATGTCCGTTGCATACAAGTTACAAGATTGGATCACGCGTTGGACGTCAATTGAACTCAAATGTTGATGTTGATGTTGATGAGCGGATGTCGGGTAATGCACTGAGGCTGCCAAGTGCGGGGCAGTGGCCATCACTGTAAATCAGCCCAGTTAGCGGTCCTCACTAACTAAAGCGTCAAAGCTTCCTGGGGAAATGGACTTGATGACCTTGGTAAAGCAGCATGTGCTAAGAGGAGATGTAAAGAGGCATGGTTTATTTACACGACATGACATGGAACACTCAGAAATACAACACATCAGCTGCAATTATATTGGAGACCTGCACCAACAGCGCCTGAGTTAGCCCCTGCTCGAGGGGATGTTGCATTCTCCCTCCATTTGCCTCGTTTAGAACTACTTGGCAGCTTCTCTTCCTTCTCGTCTCTTTGATGGGATGCTTATCATGTCTTGGCACACCACCACCTAAATTCCAATCCCCATCTCCTGCCCTTTTCGCAATCGCCTGTGTTCGTGTTTGTGTAAGGTAAGGTAGCTTAGCTTCCTTCCCTGTAACACAAAAACGCCTCCGCTCCTCGGAGATAAAAACCACTGCCCATCCCCTTCCCTCTTCTCGTCAGGTTTCATTCTCTCTCCCTCACCCCCAAGCTTCTCTCCTCTTCATAACAACAGCTTTTCTGTAACAATGACCTCGAAGGAGGAAAAGATCGACGCCGGCAGCACGACGCCCCCGTCGCCTGATCATGGCCACGCGCACACAAAGGATACCTTCACTGGTGATATGGAGGGCGTTCGCGATGATTTCCGCGAGGATGATTTCATGACCCGCAATGGCCTCAACCTCAAGTCTTTCCAGCGCCGTGAGTCGCATACACTGTCCACCGCTGCCAATTGACCCCCCTAACATTCTTTTTTTTTTTACAGGTGACTACGGCACTGGCGTCGTTGAACTCGATCGCTCCATGAAGAAGCGCCATCTCCACATGATCGCCATTGGAGGTTCAATCGGTGCTGGTTTCTTCGTCGGCTCCGGCGGTGCCCTCACCAAGGGCGGTCCCGGCGCCGTCTTCCTCTGCTTCTCTATCGCTGGTATTATGATCTTCAACGTCGTCCACGCTCTCGGTGAGCTCGCTGTCATGTATCCCGTCTCTGGTGGTTTCTACACCTACTCTACTCGCTTCATCGATCCATCCTGGGGTTTCGCCATGGGCTGGAACTACGTGAGTGTCGCTGATTCCGTGTCGCGCAATTGAGATGCTAACGTTCCCAGGTCTTCCAATGGGTCATCGTCTTGCCGCTCGAACTAACAGTCGTCTCTTTCACGGTGCAATACTGGAATAAAGACATCAGCGAAGCTGTCTGGATCACCGTCTTCTGGCTGTTCATCATCATCATCAACATCTTTGGTACCCTCGGATATGCTGAAGAAGAGTTCTGGAGTTCCGTCTTCAAGCTCGCTGCCATTGTCATCTTCATGATTGTCGCCATTATCCTCATCTGCGGTGGTGGCCCCTCCTCCGGCGACTTCGACACGTATCAGGGTGCCAAGCTCTGGTATGACCCCGGCGCCTTCCAGAACGGCTCCCGAGGTTTCTGTGGTGTCTTTGTCACAGCCGCCTTCTCTTTCGCTGGTACTGAGTTGGTCGGTCTCGCTGCTGCTGAGTCTCGCAACCCCGCCAAGGCCCTCCCCGGTGCTATCAAGCAGGTCTTCTGGCGTATCACTCTGTAGGCTTTACCGAAGGCCATTCTCCCGTCTCATGCTAACATGCAACAGCTTCTACATTATTGGTCTCACCCTCGTCGGCATGCTCGTCAGCTCCACTGATGAGCGTCTCCTCAACAGCGCCAACCCTTACAAGGATGGTACCTCTCCCTTTGTGCTCGCAGCCAAGGATGCTGGTCTCAAAGGCTACGACGATTTCATGAACTTGGTCATCTGCGTTTCAGTCGTCTCCATCGGTGTCTCTGCCGTCTATGGTGGCTCCCGCACTCTGACTGCTCTCGCTGAGCAAGATTATGCGCCCAAGATCTTCACATACATTGATCGCTCAGGACGACCTCTTGTCTCTGTAGGCTTCAACCTCATCTGGGGTGGCCTCGCCTATGTTGTCCTCGCCTCATCTGGCGGTCTCGTTTTTGACTGGCTCCTTGCTGTCTCTGCCCTTGCTGCCCTCTTCACCTGGGGCTCCATCTGCTACGTAAGTTTGAACTTGAAGTCTTCCTTTGATCCATTTTACCTTTTACTGACCTTGTCCTGTAGGCTCACATCCGTTTCCGCTCCGCCTGGAAGAAGCAAGGCCGAAGCCTCGACCAAATCCCCTTCAAGGCTGCTGGTGGCGTTTACGGCTCGTGGTTGGGTCTCGCCCTCTGCTTCGCTATTCTCGCTATGCAGATCTTCGTCGCCGTCTGCCCTCCAGGCAAGTCAGGTTATGGTAACGCCGAGGACTTCTTTAAGGCCTGCCTTGCCATTCCTGTCGTCCTCCTTTTCTGGGTCATCGGCTACTTCTGGAAGAGGCCTCAGTGGCTCACCGTTGACAAGATCGACCTTGACACTGGTCTCCGTGAGCACGACTGGGACGAGATCAACGCTTACCGTGCCAAGGTCGCTTCTTGGCCCGCTTGGCGCCGATTCTTCCACAAGTTCATGTAAGAGCTCAACGTCTCTTGTCACATGAATACGGAAAGAGAATGGTCAATCTGTGTAGTTAGTCCCTCTTATTGAAGATTCTTAGTTTATACCCCATCAATCTACTAGTTGCTAGCTTTATTCAACAAATACTTGCAATGTTTTATGATTTTTCTTATTGGCTTGATTGAAATCACTCAAGGGCAAGTCAAATTACCAGAAATATGATAACAGTTAGAGAGAACCGTTCCGACATCGCACCTCGAGGCTGGAGTTGTCGTTCTGAATACAAGTTGCATGATCCCTAGTTTCCCTCAGGGTTCTGTCAGATCAGCCCGACATCAAGCTTGCGCCTGAACTTCTCGCGTGAATAAGTATTCCAAACCACGACCATAACTAATGCTCTCCTCTTGTAAACTGTTACCATTTCCTTTCGTCTATCATCTTCTTATCGTCGACTTGGTTATCTCACTACAGAAAACATTGGCCGTATTCTTTACTCAATATTTGAACCTCTTCCTATGGAACTGTCCTGTCTTGGAGATTTCTTTACATAGGTACGCGGAAACTCCGGTTTCCCCCTACAGGACAACCGGTTTCCTATAATTTCTGTAGATAAGGTGGGCTCTGTGAGTCATTCGACAGATAATATCATCTCTTGGGCGGCAGTGCCAACCACAGTCTAATTTGGTGGCGGTAGCTGTGATCTGGGTGATCCTCTCGACAGCCTCATTTTCAAACTACATCCACAATCGTGGAGAGCATCAATTCTAAGCATAAGCTGAGTTTAATTGATACCATAGGTTATAATCTAAGCTAAAGGTAGTACCGCGGGTATCCAAAAAGCCATCAGATGGGCTTACCCATTTATTATACCATTCACAACGCGCGAAACTGCGCAACAAGCAAATAAAAAACCACAACATACATCAAACCCGAAAAACCAACAATAACCCACCCAAAAGACCCAACATACGCCACCAGACTAAGCGCCATAAACAAGAACCCCGTAACAATAAGCAGATGCAACGCAGCAGAAACAACAAGCCCAGCAGGCGTCCACTTCCTTATCGTCTCCTCGTCAATCTCACCCTTTGCCTTCTGTCGCATCAGCGCAAGAAAACTCCCGCTATAGCCAGCCAAAGCAATAGACACTGCAAATGCAAGCCACGATACTGAGAGGAACAGTCGGACTGTTTTGAGAGTAAAAGTCGGCGTGGCCCAGATGTCGGCGGGGTCGGTCATTTCTCCGACTATGACGGCGAATGTTGAGGCGCCAAAGACGGAGATGGCGATCATGGTTACGACGAAGAAACGAAAGACTTCGAGGTCATCGCTGTTGGCTTTGGTTGGTGAGCGGATTGAGTCTGGTCTCGAAGCTTGGTTTTCGAGTTGGTGGATAACATGATATAATATCTCCCGGGAGAGTTCTTCTGTATTTTTTCGATCTTCCTCTGCGTTTGTGATGCTTTGGCGAGGTGTTGTGCTTTCGATAGCTGGTTTGTTGGTTTCGACTTTCGCAGACATTGTATGAAATAATAATGTATAAATGATACTCGAGCTTAGGTAAATTTTCAAAAGCCAGTGATAGCCTGGTGATATAAATGCAAATGCTCTTCTGTATCTTTAGTTATAAATATTCTGCTTTGTATGTCATATTACACGCCTGACTCAGCCCAGTAATTCTGCTGGCGAATACTACTCCGTCGGTGCATGAGACTTCGCCTTTTTTTAACTGTCCAACCCCTGTCTCTGACCACCCATATTGAGGACCCCAGAGGAGGAATTCTCAGCCGCTGGTAGGCGCTGTCCTGGAAGGGTGGGCTAGCTGAAATATTTGAACCGAGTGCGAGCGCTAAGCCTACTTGATGCGGGGAACTTGCTGACTTGCGAGGAAGTCCGACGGACATACCAGGATATACTTGGTGCTGCAGGGTAGGATGCGATTGGCTGCTTGTGTGGCTGAGTGTCACAAGGCTGTGCCGATTGAGAATCGATTCAAACATTGACTCTGTCAGTTGTGAAACAATATTAAACATAGAAATATAAATAAATGTAATAACCTCCCACTTGATTCAAATCTCAATATCAAATAAGCTGGTAAAACGCTTCCCTAATCCATTACTTCGAACCAAATCTCTCATCCCTCATATCTCAACACTCTACATCAATCATCCCTCACAGATTATCACTAAAGTCCCCATCAAAATGTCAAACAGCAGATCTAGAGGACCACCACTCCCCAGCCTAGTACAAGGCTCATCGCTTCAAGCTCAATTACAGCGCGAAGGCGCCCAGATCTGGCGAAACAACAACCGTCCTCTCATCGAACACATCATCAACCACACAACTCCCGGCTACGTTACAAAAGTTGTCTGGCTCCAAGAGAAAAGCATCATCGAGCACGAATACCTATTGGTGTGCGTCAAGACCAACGACGGAAGACTGTCCTGGATGCGTATCGAGCGCATGGGCGAACTACCCATCGGCTCAGCATCTAGCAACGCTCTCACGGACCAGGCACAATTGGTCGTAACCCTTGCACCGTCGCGAGAAAACCTCGTCTGTGATGATAGGGTTCTCGTGGAGGCTGATCTGGATGTCAATGCGGCGCGGCTGAGTGACATTGCTAAGCTTATACTGATAGTGCACAATGAAGAGCCGCAGTATCATCTGCAGTGGCATAACTGTTGGTGGCTTGCGCGGGTGGTCATGCAAGTAATTTCAGAGACGTATATGCATAGTAACAAGAAGCAGAGGAAGAAAGTTGTTAGTCGGTGCGACTCTTCGCATAGCAAACATGTCTTGGCTATGAGTGCTGGAGGACCATTTGCGGGGATCGGCCAGATGGCTACTATCATACATTTTCGAAACCGGAAGAAGAGGATCATGACCAACTTTACTCAATCTTTATACAGTTAGCATTATTGCTGTTTTGGCAGTGTCTAGCAACTCGGAGAGGGATGTTCTTTTGTTGATATAGATGAGGCTGCATAGCGAATTATACCATTCTATCATATCCCATTATACCACCGATCACTAAGATAAAACAAGACCGGAGGTTCCGGGCATGAAACGTTACCTAGCTTTTACGCTTTTTGGTATAGATTACGAGCTTCTGTAGATCCTCATTCTCAAAACATGATTTATACTTTAAACCGTCAAACTCAGGCTATGACTGAACGAATCTGCCGTAAGTATTCTAGTGGCCCGAGGTGCCTGATCTCAACACTCTATGGACATTATCTTCGGATGAAGCGGAACAATTGAAATCAAGGCGGTCACTGAAGCATAAGCAAATGAAACCATAAGTACGAAACCTTCACAAGTAGTAGCTGCCGCTCAGGTGATTGTCGGCAGTTGTGGATTAAATTTAGAACTCGCTCGGATACTAGTCCGAAGGCTAAGAAATCGGGTAATTGCTTTTAATGCCCAAGTTGCAGACGGTGAAAATAAGTTTCAGCCACGGGTTTTATTTTTAATGCGGCAGTGGAAATCACGAAGGTCCAAGCATCTTACCGACTTTACTCTCGAGCCTTTGCAGGGATTTGCTATTATGCGGGGGGTACAAGCTTTCAGCCACAGGTCATAGCTGTAAATGACACACCAAGCAACTCAATTCTGCGTTCCATTTGCTTTCTTGATATCTCATTATATATAAATATCATTCTATTCCACTTCTTGAAAATATATCATCACTCAGTCACATTCTCTTCAGCCTTTTACAACATCTCCAATCAGCCAACTCAAACCAACTTATCCAAACAACCACCAAATAACTCTTCATCATGCGTTTCACCGGCATCTCAGCAATCTTCCTCGCCGCTCTCGTGACCGATCACGTTCAGGCCAACGAGCGCTGCACCAACCAGCTCACCAACGACTGGTCCCGTCGCTACGAAGCCTGGTCTAACTCCTGGGTCCCCAATGCCGATGCCGTCTGCGGCAATCTCTGGAATAACCTCGGTCAATACCCTGAGTGTGCTGGTGTGAGCGACCAGTACTGTGGCTACGACAACAGCGGTTCTTCGCTCGTTTGGGCGTTTACCACTGGAAGTGGTTGTGAGGCGCGATCTGTCATGGATTCTTGGTACTGGGCTACTAAGAACCAGTGGGGCAACATTGATTGCAGACAGGGATAGACGGTGAGCTTCTCCGTGATCAGGGAAGATTTATGGGCTCTGACTTATGGTTTTAGGAGACGGGTTTTCACGGTTTCGGGGAGGAGAGAGGGTTCTGTTTGGATTGATAGGCACCTAGCGATTGTATACGTGCGGCTAAAAGGATGCCATTGGCTGTATAGGGTTGCTTTAATTCACACACTTAATCGAGACTGCATACGAGTTTGGAACTATTGTGATTGTTGACATGTACCAGGCTAGTAGAGAAGTGGCCTTTCCCCAGCCAGGAATAGACATTCTCATCTTCGAACAGGCCGTCTTGGTAGTAGCACGCCATCATGCTCCAAACATTTTAGATGATTCCGATACTGACGAAGCAGCGACTTTGTTTTGTTCTTCGCCGTATACGCAAGCTCTTCTTCAGTCTGATCAAAGTCTGCAGATTCCAAGTCGACAATCATGATTTTATCCTTTCCCTCATCAGCCACAAGATGGAAGTTGTCGAGTTTCGTATCATCGTGGCAAACACCATATTCATTGAGCGAAGTCAAGGCTTGATGCAACAAGGGCTCTATAGCTTGCTCATCCAAGACGGCGCCCTCGGGCGTTGAAAGACTAGACCCTCCGATGTCTGAAAGTATGAGGGCCCGGGTATTTGCATACTGGATGGTGCCGTAGAGCTTGGGGATTGTGAGGCCTTGAATAGGTCGCAGTCTGTTGTACGCGAAGATTTCATGGTCAAATTCCTCTTCCCAGTTCTCTTTTTGACGTTTCAAGACGATATTTAATGGTAGAAACCACTCGGGAAATTTGGTTTGCAGCCATGTACCGGTGGCTTTCGACATAATCTTGAACAAGGATTGGATTATTCCCCCAATGAAAGTCTTGCGAATCTTCAGTCGTAGGACATTGAGATGAGCATGATCTGATGCAGCTCCAGAAGCTCGAATCTTTCGAGTGCCAAATCGTAATCGCTAGTGTCCAGCTGGTTAGTACTTAGAGGAGGCGTCGGGTAGGCAATGTAGCTCACAATGTCTGTTTGAAGTACAGCATCTCTCTCCACGTCATCGCCCGACTTACTTGTTAGGCTGATACCAGAATATTCCATCATCAAGTTGAGCTGAGAAAGTAAAAAAGAAGAAATGTGTTTTGATGGCGTCTGTGCGTGGGTGCTGATGATATCGCGACGCGTCAAACATTCAGCACGAGAAAGAAGGTGTTCGCTGGAGAAATTGGCAAACGCGGCTTAGTCAGCACCATGACAACACCAAAAACCTCCAAGCACTTTGGTATCCGATATTTACAGAACGCAGGGTGTGGAATAATGGCTCAAAAATAGGATATAATTATCCCCGCCTTACTTCATACCAATAGGTAAGCGCCTGACGTTCACGAAAAAGGTCAAGTCAATTTCTGCCTGCTAAGCCATGGTGCCAACCAACACCAACTACAAGGTTTCTTAGTCACATGCCATGGGCTATTGGTTCACCGACGTGTGTTGGTCGACTTGTTGTTTCAGAGTTCCACTATCATGAGGCTGAGCATGGCAAGCGCCAGACAAGACCTGTTTATTGGTACTTTTCTAGGACCTCAAATCGAAGTGTAAATAGTTTACCGCCGAGAGGTCAAAAACAGTAAATCCAAGTCATCCAACAGTCAAAGTTGATGCATATATACCTCGTAGTCTCAGCCGAACCTGACAATTAATCGATCAATTCAAGCAATACATTCCTAAAATTTCTTCCTCTCTCTTCACTCGTACAATGTCCATCAATACAGCTCAGCAGCTCATTTTGCAGCATTCAACAAACCCAGTCAACAACCCAGGTTATGAAACCAAGACGGATAAAGCCTGGGCGCGTGCCTACAAGCCTATCAAGAGAGTCACTTCACACACTATGACTGGCGCAGATGGCATGACTTATGCCGATTTCGAAGATGCCTTCCTTCCACTGCAGGCAGACGACGAATTGCGTTTCCGACAAAGGGCTGTGCCACCGAATAATCGGCATTGGAGGCTCGAGACCGAAGCAGACTGTGAGAACTGGTTTCACACAGAGGTAGTCAATGTTGTGCTATCTGCGTGGCATGCGTATCCTGCAGTGACTCAAACATCTCATACAAAGCCTATTTCGGAGGAGAACATAGCTGAGAATGTTGATTGTGTATTTTCTGTTAGAATGGGGAATACCAGGCGCACTGTAGCTATCGGAGAGATGAAACGCAACCTTCTAGAAGAAGACTGGCAAGATGGTACGATCGTGTCTGCTTCTCAAAAGAAACTATCGCAAGAGCTAAGAGGGTAAGTCGTGTATTCCCTAAGCCTTTTCTCTTTTGTCTTTTCTCCTTTTCCCCTTGGACCGATTACTCGTGATTCCTTTTGAAGCGGGCCGCCGACTAATACACTTATAGATATGCCTACAAGTATCGATGCCCTCAGGTCTTTTGCTTCGACGGTAGCCTACTCATCCTCCTACAATTCAGAGCATACAGACTCGAAAGTCTCAAGGACGAAGCATGCCTAGTCGACTGTTGGACGATTCCCATCGAGGGAAGTTCCTGTAGTCTCCGGTACGGGCTCTATCGACTCTTGGCACAGGGCTGGAGACGATGTCAAGGAGAGTACGCACCGCCATTCACAGTGGGAGGGTTTGTGCCGTGCTCCAGGGAGTTTTATACAGGGCTGTCTATCTGGGAGATTAATGGTGGGAGGCAGAAGTCGCATCCTACCGGTTATTAAAGGGATGTGCACAATGAAAATGGAGCTTTGATATGGACTCACAGTGTGAATCCCACAGAATGGGAGACTGGGGCGTTTTGGTAATGGCTAGCAGGTCAAGAGTTGCTATAACTCAATACTATTTCGTTGCTAGGGATGTTCAACATCCAGTATTTAGACTAGGATAGGCAAAACCTAGGATAAAGGCCTTAAGGAGCGAAAGAACTTGAGGAGGTTTAGAGTACCCATAGTCGGCTTTTAGTCTAGGCGGCTTTTTTTTTTTCCCAAGAGGGATTCTGTCTCAACTGTCAGGATTCGCATTTGTTGGGTCTTTCTCACTTTTCCGTTTGTATTTGAGATAAAATTGTTAATCACTGTTGGACTTGTTTTCTATATCAGCCTCCTGCACCATGTCTGGAGGGCTGGCCATAGAGGACGAGGGCTGGGAACGCTTGAGTGATTGGGATTAATCGACGAGTTTCCAGGTCTTTTAGAACGACCGTCAAACTTGGATTCATTGAGGATCATATTTTCTGAAACCTAAAATGGCTTCTGAGCACTGAATATCGATATAGATACCGGCCAAATCCGTAACACGTTGTACAAACCATCTAATCTACTTTTGGCGGTTTCAGGACGAACCTGCTCAATCAGGAATGAACTCATGAAGCTGGTATACAGCCAGATCCCTTGTGTGCAACAAAGATAGTTCCTGTCGCCTTAATACCAACACCAGAGCCTGAGGGTCTAGTAAATGGGACCGCTCGCGCCCGCACAATCCTTTTTATCATCTCAGCGCCCCTCTCCCTTTCTTCCTCACTCCAAGACTTAAAGACTTTCGAGCCGAACCCGTGGGTTAAAAGATCAGCGACTCCGTTGGCCGTCTCGCCGCCCAGATGCACGTCAACTGCAGTGCTGGTGTGCACATCGAGCCCGGCACTTAACAGCACGGCCTTTGTATGCTCAGGGTCGAGCCAGATGTCTGGAACCGGCGGCTTGAACGGCGTATCGTCTGGGCGTATCTGCGCCTGAACCTCCTGAATGATCTTGATATGTCCCATCACGGTCCAGCCTGTGACGACGGCCACTCCGTCGGGATGAAGTGTACGCGCTATCTCTCTGGCGCCCTTTACCGCGTCGGTGAAGTACATAAGGCCAAGGTTCGTAATGGAGTGGGTGAAGGTGCCGTCAGGAAAGGAGAGTTCCTCGCCAGTCATAACGGCCGTGTGGACGTTTGAGTGGGCAGAAAACCGATCCCTAGCGATGCTGACCATGTTCTCCGCGACATCGACGGCGTGAGTCTCAGGTTGGATCCCGGACTTGAGGATGATGTCGGTCACGATGCCGGTGCCGCAAGCGTTGTCGAGGATCTTGGACTCGGATGTCAGCGGTTTTAGGGCCGCGATGGAGGAGATGGCATGATGTGCGAGTTCACGGGTAGCTCCGCCAGTAGTGGCCTCATACTTTTCTGCAACCTTGTTGAAGTGCTCGGTGGGTGTGAGCTTGTGAGCAGACGACATGGCGGCAGAACAAATAGTTGAAGTACGAGTTTAAGATGGCACTATCGACATATTGTGACGGGTTTGCAGATTTATATTTCGTATCGGACTATTGATAATCGCTTTCGGGTTGCGGACATCCCAGTAATTCTCCAATCATGTTTGGAAGTCGAAGGAATCACTACCTGTTTACTCATCATTGCGAGTCGGACGATTATACTTAACCTGAAGAGGGTAAGGTAGTAGGTAAAAGGTTGTGCCACTCTTGAGCGTTTATCTAGAATAGGTATAGTCTCTGTTTGGTTCCCTCCACTCCTGACTGAAATGTAGAAACCCTCCGCGGAAGTTTTGTGTATAAGATCACCCGGGTACTCCACAGTTTCACTGCTTTTCGTGCTTTAGAATATTTTCTTCACTCTTTTTTATCTTGTCACTTCTCCGACTATTGAAAAGGAAAAAGGGGCGCAGTCATTCGTCATTTACAACGGCGCTGTCCCCTGCGAGGCTTCCCGGGACGCCAACAAATCCGACCTACCGACTCTCAGTGTACACGATGACCCCTCAAGACTCAATGCGTGCTTAGAGAACAAGAAAAGGTTGTAAGACTGTAATAAGCGACTTCTAGTCGACCTACGCATGGCGAACAGCACACCGATCTCGCAGGCGACGTGATGTTTTGGAAAGAATAGACCGGTGTTCCCGAAATTTCCAAGCATTCATCAATTACCCTTCCGCCATCATATTATAATGACCAGGTCTGCTTGATCTGTCCTGAATCTTTACTCGCCGACTCTCTTAGCGTTTCAGCTTTCAAGCAAACAGCTGGCAAGAAACCATTCTTGACGCGGACGCTGTATTGACGCGGGATCCATCGTGGGAGCTAGACCTGGCTTCACTTACTTCAACTGCACTGTAGCTATTGTCGTAGTGAAACTAAATCTTATAGAAGGGTACTGGCAAGATGACAATCGTGTCTGCGTTTCGGGACGAAATCTCACAAGAGCTAAGAGGGTAAGTTAACGCATTCTCTGCGATTTCTTTGAACCGACCCTCTTGGTTCGGGTGTGTAAAGCCACGAGCCAGCCCAAACTGAGAGGTACGTAGATATTGGTGTCCTCGGGTCTTGTGCTTGACTTATTTTCCCGCAGCTCAGTAAATACAGACTCGTCGACCTCAAGGAGGCGGCATGCCTTGTTAACTGTTATACGTTGCCAGCAAAGGAGATTAAGAGTATTCTCGTCAGCTTTTGGCTAAATGTTTGTCAGCAAATCACTTTACGATAGATAATCATGTTTTAATCCCCCCAAAGGTTTGAATAGCGTAAAGTGTTCGGTCTCAACACTCAGCGCAGTCCATCCCACTCGGGTATCCCACATCATCCGAGTGGGATGAACAACCCTTATCCAAGGATCAAATTTGTCAGTGCTGATTATTCCTTTCCCATCATACAGTTGCGATACTATATATTGTCCTCTCCTGCTTATTCCAGAGTTACTTTTGGTCAAAGTCTAAATTACCTATAGTTGGACATAGTCATCATGAGAACAACCCGCACAGGAACCGCCTCTGTCTTAGACACAACTCTGACACGCCTCATAGACGATGTGATAGAGAATGGATCGAGTTTTCTTGCAGACGACGAGAACTTGCAGCATTACAAGCACCACTTGAGCCATCTTGAGACAGCATCAAATATATCACTGCTCCGAGAATGTTTATGCGTGCGACCGCCTTTACCGCTTTTGCCAGAAGATCTACTTCAAGATATCGATACCATCCTCGCGCGGCTTCACCAGCACAAAATTGTCACTCCCATTTCCTCACTCCTACCATCGCGGATGCTTCAACATGATGAACATCGAGCAACCAAGATTCATCTCTGGAGAGGCGATATCACCACTTTGACTGGCGTTACAGCTATTACGAATGCCGCCAACAGCCAGGGCCTGGGATGTTTCCAACCGACGCATCGATGTATCGATAACATCATCCATGCTGAGGCAGGACCGCGGCTACGGGAGGAGTGCTTCCAGCGGATGCAGGCCAGAGGAAAGCAGCTTCAGCCTGGGGAAGTGCTTGTCACTGGAGGACATGCGCTCTTCGCTTCTTCGGTGATGCACACCGTTGGGCCGCAGCTTAAGAGAGGTGCCTCGCCTACTGAGACAGAGAGGAGGCAACTGGCAAAGTGCTATGAGTCAATTCTTGAAGCGCTGGAACTTTTACCGTGTGAGGAAGATGGAAGCAAGTCAGTTGCTCTTTGCTGCATCTCGACAGGCTTGTTTGCATTTCCAGCGGATGAGGCAGCTGAAATCGCAGTGTCAACCGTCACGTCTTGGCTTCAGGAGCATCCGTCAACGACGATTACAGATGTTATTTTCAACACGTTTACCGAATCGGACACCGAGATCTACTCGAACCTTCTTGGTCCTTCCCCAACAAAAACACTCACACTTACCAAGAGCCTTCCACACGGCTCTCTCAACTTAGCGCGTGACTGGCTCTCTTCAGCAGATGCTGTCCTCGTCACAGCCGGCGCAGGTCTGTCAGCCGCAGAAGGCCTGGACTACCACTCTCGAGACCTCTTCAAGCGGAACTTTCCGGGTTGTCTCAAACTCGGTTTGACGTCATTATATAGCGTTTTTGGCTTTCACGACTGGCCTTCGGAGGAGCATCGCTGGGGATATTTCTTCACCCATTTAAACATGGTGGTCAACTGGTCCAACACGCCGACTTACCAGACTTTGATCCCATGGGTGAAGAGTTTTGGGCAAGATGCATTCGTGCGCACGTCAAATGCAGATGGATTGTTTCTCGCAAATGGCTGGCCAAAAGAGCAACTTTCTACTCCGCAAGGCTCGTATGGGTATTTGCAGTGCCTGAATAACTGCAGAGTTGACGCTGTCGTGCCATCGGCTCCTTTTGTAGCTGATGCCATGCCTCACATCGATAAGGCGACGCAAAAGCTGTTAGATTCGAGCAAGATTCCGTTGTGTAGGTTCTGCGGCTCAAAGATGAGCATCTGCGTTCGAGCAGGTTCGTGGTTCAATCAGGCGCCTTTCAAAGAAGGCGAGGCTCAATGGAAAGCATGGAAGTCTCGGGTTCTAAGAGAAAAGAAGAACCTGGTAATTCTGGAGCTCGGCGTCGGGACGAATACTCCGGGTGTTTTGCGATGGCCGAATGAAGATTTGGTGATGCGAAGTGACGGGCGAGTCAAGCTCATTCGAGTTGGCATGGGCCCAGAGGCGATGGTGCAATGGGAGCAGGAAGACGAGGGTCTGAGCACTTGTATTCAAGGCGATATCGGGCGCGCGATTCCTCTGTTGCTAGAATGAAGCGCCAATCGCCAGTCATTTATAGAAGAATAAATAGAAGCCATAAAGAATGCAGATCATGACTGCGCCTCAAAGACAGCCCTACGTTAATGTCATGTCGTCTTTCAGCCCATTCACGCGTCATCAGCTGCAGCGCAAAAGAGGCGCATAACGCCAAGCGTGGGTACCACTTCAGTTGACCGGCATATCCGCGTGGCTGTGAAATTTACCGCCCCAGCCTTTCTACTAAAACCATCGCGCTCCTCAGCCCAGTAACCTCATCTTCAATATTTCCGACCTGTCCGCACGATAATTCGACAAGTTACCACGGTATGGTAGTGTTATAGCAAAAAATGGGACTGAATGCCCTGAACAAGCTCGCAGCCGCTGGTGAGGCTGTTTATCAGAACCTCTCTAAAAAATGGTGATTTCCGAAAAGCTCTACCAGCGGATTCAAGTTACTGATTGTGGATAGGGATGAGAGAAAGCGACGACAGGCAGAAGAGGCATGGCTTACGAAACACGCTGAAGAAATCCGTCAACAGAATGAGTTTCTATCTCTCGTCACGAGTAAAGTCACAGGCGACTCAGCCCTCGAAATGGCACCTCTAAAATGCAACCCGCGCGAAACTCAAAGAGCCGTCTTCCTCGTCACAACGCCAATCTCCTTCGGCGTGCTAGAAGTCTCACAGTCAAGCTACAAATTGTTAGCGAGACATGTCGGCATGAGTCTGAATAGCGTGAGTCACTGGGCGGTGTGTGTTATCGATAGAGGGCTCGGGAAGTGCTATTGCTACGATTTGATGAGCGATCGGTTGGAGTTGACGATGTTGGGGAAGAATTACTTCAGGGTGGCGGTCATCACGGAGGAGTTTGTTGAGACGTGGAGTTCGTGCTATTACATTGGCGAGACGACCAAGACGCATGAGGAGATTCAAGCGATAGGTAAGTTACACAAAACCGAAGTGTGACAAGCATTAACGTTTGGTCAGGACAACATCACATCGGACTCAATCCTCGGTACAAACTACTATCGAATAATTGCCAGCATCTGGTAGATAGTCTTGTCAAGGAGCTCTGCAACGGCAAAGTAATCAGCCAGGCAAAACTTGATGAGGAATTATCGCTTGCGTCGCCAAAGATTGCACGCGACTTGCTTGTTGGGAGGATAAGGTCGAAGATGGAGGTTGGTGGCGAAAGCGAAGACAGTCCTTCTATAAAGGAGCATTTGGAGGCGATCAAAAGTCATTGGAGCGACAGAAAATAATTGATGATGATACCCAGGATAGTTCGATGATTAGGCATTAAAATTGTTTGCTAGCGCTTTGGCATTAAAAGAAGGTACAAAAGGTAAATAACAGAATAGAAATCGACTTATGAGATTAATACTTACAAATGATAAAGATATCAGTTACGCGGTGCTCTATATTGTAAAGTTAATCATACCTGTGAAGATAATTACTGGCGGGTCAACATGAGGCGATAGCGACATGAGTGATTAAAGTTTGCTGTACTTGTATATAGTACAATCTCTAGCTCTGCTGTCACCAATAGCTATTCCTCCGCTTCGGAGATCTCCCCGAATAGCTCAGCTGGAAGAGCGTTCGGCTGTAATTGTTAATCTGACACCGAAAGGTCACTTGTTCGATCCAGGTTTCGGGGAGCGCAAATTCTTTTTTGCATTTTTTTACCCTTTCTTTTATTCCAGCTAATATTATTCTTAACTCCATGCTTCCAATTCTCACCTTATTATGCTTCTTGTGTCATTCGTGCCACTTGGCATGTATCTGGATATTAGGCAAATGCGATGCTGTTTAATAATGAGGCCCGGTTGGATTAATTAATTTTGAGCGGTCTCAAGCGCTGAGATCAGAATGTGCTGATACACGTCATCTTTTGATATGGGGAGGGTGCGCGATGGTCAAGTTGGCTATTAGTCTCGTGAGATATTAGGCCTTTCGCTCCTCGCTTCCCGTCCGTTCATGTCGGTTCTCAAAGCTATTATCGTTTTGTAGACACGCCTACCGCAATTCTAGCATTTCTCCCACCAAAAACCATTGAGAATATTTGCGACAAGGTATTTAACTTATTGATGTACATCAATACTAGGCTAACAATAATAGCTAGTCGACATCGACCTCCAACAGCTCTCGCTGACGGTAGAATGCCTACACAAAATAACCCGTCACCAACTCTAGCACTCCCTGACTATTCACCCGTATCCCGAGAGCGAGCGACATTGCATAAGCCCTTATAGACCACCGCAACCTTGTCTCCAGTATACGAAAGAACTTCTTTTGATCCTGGTGTCGACGCAGACCTCTGTGCAAGACACTCAAACTTTACCCTCAGAAGCTTTCCGCCCTCTAACCCAAGACTATCGCCCATAGCCTCCAAATATACTGATGAAGAGGAACGTTCTCGCTCAAGTTGCCCATGTAACCAAGTCAGTCACTCGCGTGGATACATCGCTTCGAGGCTGTGATATTGCTGAATCGTTTCAGTGACGGGCAACTCGAGTCGTTCAGGTATGAGGCATACTTACTTGAGGGAAATTTCCAACAGATCTTAGTTGGAACTATACATCGTGTATACCCTCTGAGATCCCCGAAATTCTGAGTCTCAAGTACCCCTTCATCCAGAGTCTGAGCCTCGTTACAGACCCTTTCTCTAGCAGATTCAACCGCTGGAGTCAAACATCTGACCTAGATCTCTCGGCGTTTCGTAGCCTTCGACGACTTATCTGGAAAGCACCTATGGGCTGTCATTTCGACAACATTGCTATTCTAGTCAAGACTAATGCGAGGCAGCTGGGGGAGCTGGAATTGAAGCTGCAGGGCTGGTCCCCAGACCGAGAGAGCCTTGAGTCCACGACTATTCATCACGAGGGCAACCCTGAAGTATGGAATGACATACCAGCGAGCACTGTGCTTGCTAGGCAGGAGTTTGGTCTCGAAGGCATCGCCCAGGAAGTACCTGAGCGAACACAGTTCCTCGTTAACTCTAGTGGTCTGAGGCTTCTGTTGTGCGTGCTGGATAGCCTTACTATCCAACATGATGGAATTGCAAACACCACTTCAGCTCAAGACTTAGTTCTCTTTAGTCCTTTAAATCAGTCTAAGTCGGGGATATAAACGTCTTAAATTCAAGGCCATCTAATATTTGGATTAGTAAAGAGCGTGGGGGGCAACGCATAACTAGTTAAAGGGTAGAACTCCATGGCAAAGAGTAGGAAGGAAAGCGGAGTTTGTATACTGTACGAGGCTGACTAAACTTAGCACAGCCTGATTTTTGAGTTGCTGCCTAAAATCAAGATAGTCAATAACCCCGCCTGGTGAGCACATCATAGGCAGAAAAGGCGTCGCGGGGAACTTGCTTATTAGCTCCCCACTGATTTCGGAGTTTTAATATCTTGAGATCGCGGCATATACTGCGAAAGTAACAACTTTTAGCACAACCCTATCGGTTACCTCATGGCGAGGCGCAAACCTGAATCGGAGGATGATGAGGGCTTTTTGAGAGCTGAGAAGAAGAGGAAGACCAAGGAAGAATCCGTATCAGGACCCAGCACCTTGGCTCCCAAGTTCACAAACATTGACTACGTGGTTGGTTGGATTTGTGCCATAACCACTGAGTATGTCGCTGCGCAGGCATTCCTTGATGAGAAGCATGAGGGACCTGATTACGTTTCTCCTAATGACGACAACATCTACACCCTAGGAAAGATTGGGAAGCATAATACTGTTATTGCTGTTTTACCAGATGGAGAATATGGCACAAATTCGGCAGCCAGAGTTGGCAGCGATTTGCAACATACGTTCCCTAATGTCCGCATTGGCCTCTTAGTTGGAATTGGTGGCGGTGCGCCAACAAAACATGATGTTCGCCTCGGCGACATCGTGGTCAGCGCCCCTCGCCAAGGGCACGGCGGAATCTTTCAATATGATTTTGGTAAGACAGTCCAGAATCAGTCCTTCCATACAACTGGCTTCTTGAACCAACCGCCTGTGCTTTTACGAGCGGCTATGAACGATCTCAAGGCGAAGTATGAGGTCGACGGTCACGACATCGAGGGAGCAGTCCAGGCCCTTCTTGATAAAAGACCAAGGCTCAAGAAGAGATATGAGAAACCTGATCCAAGTAGCGATAGACTGTTTTGCTCTACAGTTATTCATCCGCCAGATCATGAAGCAAGCTGCGTTGAGGTTTGCAGCGATGATCCGAAAGACTTAGTGAAACGACCTGCCCGGTCAGAAGATGACATGCTTCAGGTTCACTACGGGTTGATTGCTTCATCCAACCAGCTTCTCAAAGACTCTTTGGTCCGAGATAAACTTGCTAGGGAGAAGAATATCTTGTGTTTTGAAATGGAAGCTGCTGGGCTAGTAAATCATTTCCCGTGTCTTGTTATTCGCGGGATATGCGATTATGCAGATTCGCATAAGAATAAAGACTGGCAGGGCTATGCAGCTATGGTAGCAGCTGTATATGCGAAGGATCTATTGTCCAGAATCCCGCCGAGCAAAGTCGAGTCCCAGAAGAAGATTGTTGATATCATGCAAGGTCAGTTCTGTTACTCTAGTCAAATTACAAGGCAATATTAATGCGTTATTAGATGTCAAAGATAAGGTCCAGCAAGTATCAAAAGCTCTGGATAAAGTCTTGCATAAGAAACACGACGAGGATGACAGTGAGATCTTGAAATGGATCTCGCCTGTTGACTACGCCCCCCAGCAACATGACTTTCTCAAACGTCGACAGCCAGGGACTGGCCAATGGCTCCTGGAATGTGACGAGTTTCAAGAGTGGCTCAAGAGCAGCAAAAGAGGACTGTTTTGCCCAGGTATTCCAGGATCCGGGAAGACGATCTTAACAGCCATCATTATAGATCATCTCTGCACAAAGTTCCAAGACGAAAGCGACATCGGTATTGCTTTTATCTTTTGTAACTTTCGAAGACATCATGAGCAGAGGCTAGAAGACCTACTAGCTGCTTTGCTGAAACAATTGACACAGCAACAACTCTCCGTACCAAGTAGTGTACGTGAGCTTTACAGCGGCTGGAAAAACAAAGGAGTACGCCCCTCCACCGAAAAGCTATCTATGGCGCTACAGTCTGTGGCCGCTCTCTTCAGCCGTATTTTCGTTATTCTTGATGCTCTTGATGAATGTCAAATCGCCAATGGTTGTCGTAAGACTTTCCTCGATGAGATGCTCAGCCTACAGGCCCGTTGTGGCATAAACCTTCTTGTCACGTCCCGCTTTATACCCGAGATCGCCGAATCGTTAAGGTCTCAGACATCTCTAGAGATCCGTCCGAGTGATGAGGATGTGCGGAGATATCTTGATGGACGTATGTCACAATTACCGGGGCTTGTACGTCACGATCCGGCTTTCCAGGAGGAGGTCAAGGCTGGGGTGATCAAGGCTGTTGATGGAATGTTTGTACCCGAATCATATTCGTTTAGTGCTGATTACTTACTAACAGTGGAATAGGTTTTTGCTGGCGCATCTTTACATGGACTCTTTGGACGACAAAATGACAAAAAAGGCCGTCGAGAAAGCTATAAGTCAACTGCAGAAACGGAATCCAGGACCGAGTGAAGAAAAGAAGATGAATGTACTTTCAGAAGCTTACGGCCAAGCGATGGACAGGATCAGGGGTCAGAAAGCAGGTATTCGACAGCTTGCGGAGCGTACCCTTTTGTGGATCACATGCGCCAAAAGACCACTGACTATATCGGAACTCCAACACGCACTTGCTGTTGAGCTGGAAACTCGTAATATCGATGACAAGAACTTCTCTGCAGCAGAAGATATGGTCTGTGCTTGCGCCGGTTTGGTTACGATCGATGAAGAAAGCAAAATCATTCGCTTGGTGCACTATACTATGCAGGACTACTTTACAGAGAACCAAGACCAGATATTCTCAGACGCCGAGAAAACCGTCACGTCTATTTGCGTCACATACCTCTCATTTGATGCCTTCCACTCCGGTCCATGTCTAGGGAACTATGATTTGGAGCAGCGACTACAGCAATATCCTTTCTATGATTACGCGGCGAAGAATTGGGGACATCATGCTCGCGTCTCATCTTCACAGCCGCGAAGGTTGCTTCTCGGTTTTCTAGACAATGAAGGTAATCTGATGGCTTCCGACCAAGCGCGACAGGCATCGAAGTTGACTGGGGGTGGTGTTGAATACACGAAAATGACAGCGTTGCATATTGTCGCGTTTTTTGGACTAAGCGATCTCATCATCTCTGTCGGTGAACGATATGACCTATCCGTGAAGAACTCGGGCGGCCAAACATCACTATCTCTAGCGGCGGAGAATGGCCACAGCTCTGTAGTCAAGTGGCTAATAGAGCAGGAAGGCGTTGATTTGAATACCAGGGCGTTTCGATATCTGTGGACTCCACTATCGCTAGCAGCATGCAATGGCCATCATACTGTATGTAGGCTTCTACTGGCCCATGAAGGGGTAGAGCCAGATCCAAAAGACTCAGGTGGCAGAACACCGCTGTCTTGGGCTGCAGGAAACGGACATACGGATGTGGTTGAACTATTTCTGGCAAACCGCCGGGTAGCAGCAGATTCAAAAGCAACATGGTTCTACAAAGGCAGAACCCCAATCATGTGGGCCGCTGCCAATACGCATTCGGCTGTGGTGAGCTTACTCTTGGGTACTGGGATAGTTGACTACAATTCTACCGACGATGACGGCCGGACATTACTTTCGTACATGGCCCAACACGGAAGTACAGAATTAGTCAAGAGGATTCTCACTAGAGAAGGTATCAACGCCGACTGGAGGGATCAGATCGGCCGAACCGCTTTATCTTGGGCAGCGCAGAACGGCCAAGCAGCAGTTATCCAGCAGCTTCTCGCTAGGGATGACGTTGATCCAAACTCCAAGGACAATAACGATCGAACAGCACTGTCGTGGGCAGCTCAATACGGACACGAGGCAGTAGTGAAAATGCTTCTTTCGACCAGCAATACCGATCCAAATGTCAAAGATAACAATGGACTGACACCACTGTCTTGGGCTGTTCGATGCGGCCACGAGGCGATGGTGAAGTTTCTTCTTGACACGGACGGTGTAGATCGAAGTATTAAATACAAGGATGCGCAAAATCGTCCAGTTCTACCTCTTGACAACAGGCGGAACGAAAATATGCAGAGCCGTGCAGTGATATCCCTTGACAAGAGACGGAACGAAGTCATAAAGGAGCCTTACAGGCATGGTTTCCCCGAGGAAGAGTATTTTGACAGAGAGGCGTCGCCCGATGTCGTAGTACCCCTACAGTGGAGAATCCTGACAATCGAGTATTCACTGGGCATGTTCAATATCAACCAGACAATAGGCGTGGGAAGCTACTCTCGTGTCTATTTGGCCCGGTTAAAGATCAACAACCGAGCCTACTTTGCCATCAAAGTTTTGAAAAAGTCACATGTTGTGAAAACGAGGCAAACAAGACACACTCTAGATCAAAGAACTATTCTCTTCGATATCGATCACCATTTCTTCGTCAGGTTATATGGAACGTTTCAAGACGCGAGAAATCTCTATATGGTCATGGAGCTTGGAGAGGGTGGCGAGCTTTTATCGTTACTACGCCAGGTCAAGGTACGTCCGCTGAAAACCTTCAGATTGGCTTCGAAGACCTTTTCCAATCTCATTTTTGGCATAAAATAGCAATATGAATGGCGCTGACGATAAGACAAATGCTTAGCGATTTCCAGATAGGGTTGCCAAATTCTATTCTGCTCAGCTGGTTCTAGCAGTGGACTATCTACATTCCAAAGACATATTACATCGAGATCTGAAACCAGAGAATATTCTGATTGATCGACTTGGCTATATCAAGATTGCCGATTTCGGTTTCGCCAAACATGTTCCAGGTAAGACATGGACATTATGTGGAACATATGATTATCTAGCTCCAGAAGTCATATTGGGCCAGGGCTACGGCAAGTCTGTTGACTGGTAAGTACACGCAAATGAAGAGTGAAGGATGCACTATTTTGCTATCTGGATGAGTAGCTGACAGTGTGCTAACTCATATAGGTGGTGCCTTGGAATTTTGACATATGAGATGCTCTGTGGCTATACTCCCTTTGCGGACGAATCACCGCTCTTGACATATGAGAATATCCTCAAGGGGGAGGTCAAGTACCCTAGCCATGTCAAGAATTCAGCGGCCCAAAACCTGTTGACAGGTTTAATCACGAACGACCTGGAACGAAGGTTGGGTACTGAACGGAATGCTATATCAAACCAACATGGGAATCCTTGGGACATAAAAAAGCATCCGTGGTTTGGGGGAATTGATTGGAACATGGTAGAGAACAGAGGAATAACTCCACCTTGGAGACCATCGACCTGGCCAGACAAATGCTACGAAGGTCAGTAACAATTTATTTTCGCAATTTAGACGAAGCTCTTGCTAAGATGGTTCAGAATACATAAAGCAGTTTGCTTGTTATCCTGAGCATAATGAAGTATTTGCTTCAGAAGGAGACTTCAGGTAATTTCAAGTAAATCCTATTGTCAAACCTTATTACTGATACTGCGTTAGCTACGGAGACCTATTTGAGGACTTCTCTAGCTGTACATGATTCCAACTTGTGAGATGAGGTAGTATGGTGGATGAAAAGATCTCAAGGTACATCTTGGAAGTTGTTAAGAATTTAGAAGTAATATCTATATAACTCATTACCTAAGCCTAGTATATTAAATAAAAGGCTATAATATAATTAATATAATTAAAGAGATTTTGTAAAGAAAATGAAAAGTAATAATACTAGCCTTTATAAAAATTTTTAAAAAAATATAAATAATACTAATTATATTAAACTAATAG